CCGTATGACAGTTCACTACATTACCTCTATCTTCATGACCGCAGTTGAAGAGAAGATTACATAATTAATGTCCACGGCAAAAGCATCCCACACACGTTTCTAGGGGAGAGGGAGGGGAATAGTAATATCTACATTCTTAGATATATACCAGAGCATTTCTGTTACAAAATATGCAAGATTAATGTTAACGTTTCTTGATGAAGGATAAAAAGGAGAGATTTTGTGAATGATTTTAAGTGAAAATTCTACAAAGCTTTTCAGCTGTTTCTAATCTTTTTGTACAAATTATTTTGTCTCATATTGAAAAAAAGCTTATTTGTTGAGACTTTTGTTGGTGACTCTTTCTGACTTACATACCACATGAGCTTCCAAAATGACAAAAGAAAACTCCCTACTCCTTTCAAACATCTAAAAATCACTCCTTTTTTAATGTAGCACTTGTGGCACTTACCATACTGAAACATGTAATCCATACTTAATGCTCATGCATACTACAAAAACATTTTCTTGAAATGCTACATTTTGTTTTTAAAAGCTTTTCAAGTAATGTATGCCACACGATGAGTCATTACTGCATAATCTCCACTTTGCTGTATACATCAAATGAAGGTGGTTAGCCTTTCCTGCCTTGCTCCGTCAAAGAACATAGGTGGGTCATCACCAGCTCGAGATTGCCAAATAGCCCGCTATTTCTGATTTGGGAAATAATCCTGAAGTTACAAATCGCGTCCTCATCAGCTAGAGATTCGACCTCGAAACTTGACCTTGAGAAACTAGCTCAATATATTTCGCTCAGCGTTCGCGCATAGTGCGAGTCTTCGGGCTGGTGTATAGCGGGATATTTTGCAAACTATCCCAAGATATCTTGGGATGACTATCCCAACCAAATATCCCGCTAATTGCAATTTTATGCTGATGAAGACACAAACTAACTGGATAATTTGCGAACGGGATAGTTGAAATAGCGGGATATTTGGCAATCTCGAGCTGATGAAGACAGGCCTCATGTGAATCATGAGATGCACAAGAGACTCTTGAATAATATGTGCCAATATTCTAAGATGTTAGCTCCCTTGGCTTTTAGAAAATCACCCACATGATCTCCATCTCTCAGACTCTCATGAATGTTGCATGCACTAAATTGTCTTCATCATCCTCCTCCTCTCTCTCTCTATCTCTCTGTTTTATCTCTTTCTCTCCTCCCCTGAGCGCTCTCTCTGTCTCTGGCTGTCTCTCTGTCTGTCTGTTTGTTTGTCTCTCTTGCAAGTGATTACCAGTTATCTACATTGTATCTTCCCTTTTGTGAGATATCTACAGTACTCACTTAAATTACAAGTCTCTTCAAAAAGCATACATTTACTTGTGCTTAATCATGTTTTTTTTAGACAAACAACAACTTTTCTAAAAAGCCCCTCATAACTGATCTTTCTTCCTATCTAACCTCTATTATTTTTCTTTGTGTCTTATTCTACATGTACATACACCTCATTATATTTTTACACACATGAATATTGTCTGCTTGCTTTAACATATATAGATTAATGACCTTCCGACTCTGAACAGATAATATGTTCAATGATGAGTGCTATAACATCTGTCTGGCTCTCAACATGTATGCAAGCTCTCTCTCTCTCTCTCTCTCTCTCTCTCTCTCTCTTTTTTTTTCTCTCTCTACAGTATCTTAATACTTCTGTCATCTTCAATTTCATCCCCTCTTCATGCATCTTTGATAATGCATTCCTGCATAAAGTAATTCACCTTGAAGTTCAGTGTTTCAATTACATCTGTCACATTCCCTTACTCTTGATATCATTATTTCCTATCTGTCATCCCCTGTCCCTCTCCTTGTCCTCCCTCCTCCCTCTGTGGTCAGACCAATTCCAACATCTCATTTTCCCATTACTAATGTCCTTTGGCACGATATTAATCTACATTTGCCACTCTCCACATCAGCTTCACATCTTTTAAATGCATTATTTATCTCCTTCTTCCTTATAAAGGTTTTCTGTAGCTATCTCTGATCCTATTGGTACCACCCATCCACCCTTCTCTTTTTATCTCTGTCTCATCTTAATGTCTTTTAATTGTCTTTTGTATACTAAAGATTTAATTTATGTTCAAACTTAATATTATTTTCCCTCCAAAACCTTCCTTCCATCTCTAACCACTCATCCCAGCATCTTCATCCCATGTCAGTCATCTTTAAAAATAAATCCCCCATCCTTTCTCCCTCCCTCTTTCCCCCTCCCACGCTCCCTTGTCCCTCTCTCCTCCCTCCCTCTCTATCTTTCTCCCTTTCTTTTCTATATCTCTCTTTCATCCTTCTCTATATCTCTCTCCCCTATTTTCTTCCCTCTCTATCTCTGACGGATCACTCCTGCATCACTAACCCATCCCATTCCAGTATTCCATTTCATTACATCCCTCATCCTCACATCCCCCCTCTCTCTCTTTCACTCTTTCTCTCTCTCTCTCACTCTCTCTCTCCCTCTCTACATCACACCAATAAACTTACCCCTTTTCTCTGTCTCACTCTCACTCTCTTCCATCCTCCCATCCCATCCCTATCCCATCTCTCCTCCATCTCTGACTACTCATCCCAGCATCACTCATCCATCCCACTCTTCCCCTCTCTCTCTCTCCTCTCTCTCTCTACATCACACTATCTCAACATAAACTCACATACTCCTTTTCTCTGTCTCACTCTCTCTCTCTCTCTCCCATCCTCCACATCCCATCTCTCCTCTATCTCTGACCCCTCATCCCTGCATCACTCATCCATCCCACTCTCCCCATCTCCATAGATCCCACTGGTGACTCACGGTGCGTGTCACCAGCTAACTCGGGCTGTGCAACCAATAACGCACGATGACTAATACTGACACAGATCCACGGCTAAAAACAAAAGCTGGCCGGATGAATCCCTCCATTCGGGGAAATTGAATGACCAAACTCCCTAACTGCCAAGAAAACAAACGTTGCACCACAGGCAGCTTTTCCAGGATTTTGTTTGTACCCATCTGACAAATTTAATCTCATGAAAAACAATTCTTTAAGGGCAAACAAACCACATACAGTACAGTTCATCCATCTCACAGTCAGTGTACTTTTTGCAAATACCGTAACCATACTCATTGTATGTATACTCGTATATCTCACCAAAATATTTAAATTATGTCTAGTAGACTCTTTCTGCATCTGCCAAGCCTCAAGTCATACTAATTACTTATAAATAAGTTCTTACAGCTGAATGCATCAACATAAAATAGAAACTGTATTCGCAAGATTTCTTAAAATGAAGTCAAGCCCTAGGCAGGTAGTCTTGTTGTTAAGGGCAACCATCATAGAAAAAGAAAATCAGTTTTTCTCCTCTATAATTGAACATGGTTTGAACCTCAGTGGTTTTTCCCTCTCTTTTTTTTCTCTCTCTCTTTATATATTGGGCAGTGTTTTTGTTGAAATTTTGTAAACATCACTTACATGACTGCATGTGAGCTCTTTATAAATCAGTCTCTAGACTGTTTTATCACTAGCTAGTATGAATTGAAGAAAAGAAAAAAGTTTCCTCTATTCTTTTACTCCATATTTATCAAGCACTTACGTACATGTAACTGTAATAATGTAAGTCTCTATTGAAAAAATGAATTGAGAAAAAAAAAGAATTTCCTCTCCATATTTAACAAGCAGTTAAATAAATGAAACATTAGGTCTCTCTTTTTTCTAATATAAACCTGACAGGAACCAGGACACATAACTGGGTAAAATAAACAACTTATCAGTTATCACCCACAATGAGAAGCTCTGTCAACAACTTCCACACAATGGTTAGACCCTATGCGCTAAATCTTTTACAATCTTTGAGTACAGGTAACTGTCAAAGTAAATATACTTTACAGACAGTTAAACATCCTTGAGTGACCAAAAGGCTACTTCAGGATTCTTCCCTAAGTAAGTTATTGTGTCTTTAACTCGTTGTATGCCACACAAATAATCTCCCTGTGCCACAATGTATTTATCATGTAATTATACCAAGGGCTTTAAGATTATTTAACTGTTTCAAGTACAAGATTAATCTATACCAATGTTAAAAGGGTTGTCATGGAATTATTCAAGAATGGAAATGGTAAGTTTGCAAAGCTTTGGGTTGCACAAAGCGATCCTTCCCTCAATGTTTGCCTATTGTTTTGTGCAGAAGTGCATGTGTGGCAAATGAGACACTGTGCAGGGAGGCGAAGACAGCAGTCAAAGAGTTAACTAAGAGTGCAAGGTTGCTCAATAACATGGATTGCGTGATAAGTTGGAGAAACAGATGCAAGTGCAAGGTTTCTGTAATCGATGAAGGAACATTATATTGCTTCAAGTTCTCTCAAAATGATTGCCATCAGAGAAAGATGAATAGTTTTCTGTCTGACAGGTTGAAGGATATTCTGTCATCTTTATTGCTTTCGATCGGCAGGAATGTCTATTCATAGCATTTAATCGTCGACTGTATTCCCTCAATCGCATGTTCTCCCACACTCTTACAATCTGCGTATATGTATCTGCAATCCATCTCATACATCCTAACGTGAGGTGTACAGTGTCCAATTATCTCCCCCCCCCCCTTCCCCACTTTTTTTGTTGGGGGGGGGGAGGGGGAGGGGGGAGGGGAGAGGGGGGAGGGGGGAGAGGGGAGGGGGAGGGGGGAGGGGGGAGGGGGAGGGGGGGGGGGGGTGTCTATTCTTCAACATTCTCTTTCAAATGGCTCTCTACATAACAACAGCTTCCACAATGATGTACACCTTCAAGATGTAACCAAATGAAGAGAAGAGTAAATGAAAAATACATCTAGTTTTAACATCGGCATATGAGCATTGGCATATATGAGCATTGGCACACTCATTAGGCTATAGGTGATTTACATTGGGAGCTAGAAGAACATGAGCTACATGCAAAGTTTGCATTCATGAAACCCTTCTTCAGAAAATATAAATTTTAATGTATGCAGATCTTAAACTTACCTGTCTTCCATCCAAGGTATAAAGCTTGCGAACAGCACCAGAGTCTAACTTTATGGCCTCCGTAATATCCGTCAGGACCTGCTCGAAGGAATGAGCCGTTTTCTTGTTGAGCAGGATCCTCACAGCTTTGCGGGGTTTGGCTCCACTCTTGATAACGGTTACCAGCCTTGGTTTGATGAAATCTCTGCCATCATCGATGAAGCCGTCCGTTGTGCGTGGGAGGGGCGTGTTACTGTCCCGGCCGTCCTTTCTGGCCGACGGTGACCCGACCTTCCACGCAGGATCATTAGTCCTTGAGTATTCCATGCGCTTGAAGACATCCTGTGACGAACACACGTAGCTTTCCTCTTGTCGAAGCATATTGAGGCTCGTGACCTTACGAGTGCCATCGATGGTAAAGACGTGCCTTACGCCCTGTGGTAAATGCGCCTTATCGGATAGAGTTCTCGTTAGGTCCTCTAACAGAGCCTCGAATGTCCTGAAGCGTTCTGGAGATACGGCGTAGACGATGCCTTTGAAAAATCTGTCCCCGTTTCTGTAGAAGCACACCTTTTTAGCTTTCTTGTCCGTTGTGCGTTTCTGAAGCGATGTCCTGATTAAAACACCATGTGCACTGTGAGCGGGGCTGGGGATTCCGTTGCGGGCTGAACGCAAGCGTGATCGTTCAGTAGAACTGCGGAAGTGTTCCTGAAATTCTGCCAAGGTGGGGGAACTGTAAGCCATCTTGTGATGTTTTGCCTGTGGGGTGGAGAAGAAACTGAATATGAACAAGAATTTATGACATATCATTACCAGTGACTTTTAAAATGGCTGCATCTACATACACATTTACCATCAATGAAAAAGACACCTTACAAAATTTAGTAATACATGTACCTAGTACCTAGTGTACATCTTCAAAACTGCGACATAACCATTCTTCTTGTCTTTCTTATTGTGTTGATGAGTCATGGTTTTACTCTTGCTTTGCTGAACACTTCTTTGTTTATCTCATGAATATTTTTCCCCATCTGATGCTGTAGTGTATCCCAGATATTTAAAAGTGTGGGTTTGCTTGTTTCCCTTTTATTTTTGAGATAGTATTGCATTGGGGTGTCCGAGTCTTTTCTTAAAATATTATCATGCACTCTGTTTTCTTGTTGCTTAAATCTAAGCCTTCATTCATAATAATGTTTGATACCACAGTTAAAATTAACTGCAGATTTTCTCTCGATTCTGCTGCTAAAACGGTTTTATCTGCATGTAGCGAAGGTTGTTTTAAATTCCGACCTCCACCTCTAACACCATTGTGATCCTTGATCTATCCAGTATAGTTGTATAATAATTAAGACAAATAAAAATATTGAAAAAATGAACCTCCCATACAGAGTAGATATACATGAAACATACTCCTGCATACGAGTTAGTGGACAATAACCACATTCACCTAGATGCAAAATACTATGCAACATCCAGTCAATTTCTTGAAATGCAATACAATAACAAGGGTGCTGTTCTTCTCTGCTATATCCTGAATTCTTCATTTTTCTTTACATTTACGAACGACATAAATATGCTTTGAAATCTGGATAGACTGTTGGAAATTACATCTAACAACATGTACAATTTTGAACTTAAGATAAGAAGTTGATAAATTTGTCATCAAATTTATTTTAATTGATTTGTGCACATTTATTATGTAAATAAAATGAATATACAATACAGAATCATATACTAGCTATTATAGACCTAATTGGGATTTATAAAAACTATTTCTTTCATAAAATATGCATATGTACAACAAAATCATATAACTTCAGCCTGGTTTAGAAACATGTGTAGGTACACATCGATAATCAATAAAGCAGGCCGTCCCAGACTTATCAGTTACACATGTATTACAAGGCTTCCTGAACAAAGGGCGTCCACCGTTCCCTAGCTACACCCTACGCTTCGGGTGTTCACCGTACCCCCCTACACCGTACCCCATACACCATCCGGTGCACCTCCTCCGAGCACAGGGGTGCCGGTAAATCTAAATGTAAACACAAAATAATCAGAGATGGTTGGAACCTGAAATGATGTTTTACCAACTTGCTCACAATAACAAACCACGTGCTAAAGAATCTACTCACCTTTTTCAGGCTGGAGATTGAAAAATATGGTTAGATCGAGGATGATTTTTATATTGGGTCTTCGCTTCGTCGCTGTAAGATCCCCGCACCGGCCTACACCCGTTGAAAGCTTTTCGTACAATGAGCATCGATACCGCACAGTTTGCGACTTGCGAGCGATGCATGCACAGCGAACAGATAACCCACCTGTTCAATTACCGCGCGTGCATACCGCGCGCTGAGGGTAAGATGCAGTCCGAATGAGATGGAGATTTATTAAAGGGAAAATTCAGTTCTTGGAAAGGTGGGGGAAATGATGAGTTTTTCCATTTTCTTTCATGTTAATGTGGAAGAAAACTATAGAAAGAGCTGAAAAAGATGGCTCTTAAAATTCCGTCATATTATCGTGTGTTTCATAATCAACCTTTCCAAGCCTCTATTAATAATAATAATAATATTTAAGTTTTATATAGCGCTTAAACAAATGTTTCTAAGCGATGTACAAATATACTATTCGCTTTCAGACAGTTTCTTTTACACTAAATTCGCATGACTGGGCACTGTAACCCCATTTTGGGGGCGATTTATTTCATTGACCACTGTGTGCAATCCATCCAAAAATCAATTATAATTATGATCAATTGCTAAGCTTTGTGTTATATGGGGCCCAGAAGTACCTGCATCATACCACATGATTGATAAAGCCCGTGACAAAGGCGCAAGTGAAAAGGAATGAACAAAAATGATTTCTCTCCCTTCTGCTACTTATTTTAAAAATCATTATATTGTTTTTAATCCATTTGTTTTACACCGTTTCGTATAAAAACTATTGACACATGAATGAACACTGACTGATTTTAACCAAGTTTCTGTTCTTTGTAAAAAAAAACCGAATCCATCGTACAAAACCCTCTTATTATTAGCGTCACATTTAGATTGGATAAGCTAATATCTTTGCAATTGAATTTAATCGGAAATTTGAGCAAAGTTACAATTCATTGTTTAGTATAGGCCTAGGGTTAACCCCCCCTTGATTTTTTTTAATGTATATGTTTTGTGGGAACCCCCCCCCCCCCCCCAACGGAACAAAATGTCAAATTTTCAAATTTCGAGACCAAAAAAAAAAAAAAAGTGTCCTTCCCCCCCCCCCCCCCCCCCCCCCCCCCCCCCCCCCCCCCCCCCCCCCCCCCCCGCTTATTCAGCGGCTGGCTGGGTCGTTGCGATTTTTTGGGGACCAAAAAAAAGTGTCACAAAAATGTTTCAAAATATTTAGGCATATACAATATACTTTTCACTGAAATTTGCATATTTTTTGGTTTTGTTTTGAGGGGGGGGGGGGATCTGTGCAAATTAGGAATACTGTCTCCTTTAAAATCATGAACAATCTTCTCTGAAGAAAGGTATTTCATTTATTTCATTATGATCTCGACATAAGCCTATAACGGCCCTCAGTATATATGGTTGCTTTGAACTTCCTAGAATTTCGACCACCATTCCTTTATCATGTTGAAAAATATTGCACTAATTAATCTGTAAATATGTTAAGTTTGTCACGAAGGCCTTTATGTACATCGTATAAGGGGAGGCTATGGGGAGGGGTTATAACCTTCTCAGATTTTGATTTTAGGCGCTCTTCCAATGAACTATCATGATTCAAGTTGTGTCCACCTTAGTTTTAACAAAAGTTTAATTTTAAGTGACACCTTGGCGGAACTAATAGAAGGAGTTGGACTTTCACTGCATCCACTTGATCAATTTCGCGTGTACGATTATATAATTCAAGAGTTTGCCACTTCTCTCGAGGCCGCCAGCGATTTCAAGCTCACCGCTCATGATGGCGGTCTCCTGCGTTTTCTGTAATTTATCTTTTTTCATTGAAATTATATTTGTGTTTGTATGCATCTTATTTAACGTACTTACAAATTTATTATTATGTAAAATTAAGAAATATTTGTTACTTAAAGTATATGATTATGTTCTTTTTTGAAAATGCAGAAATAAAAACAAACAAACAAACAAACTTTAATTGGGGGGAGCATTTTAAAGAAAAAGCTACATCAAATGGCAAATAGAGCGGTTCATAATATTATTCTTGAGTTACGACGAAATGTTGAAAACAAATCTCCGTTGAAATGTGGGAGATGTTTTTGCCATGTCCCCCTCCCTCCATTAAATTACGACAGCCAAAAAAAACATTTAAAATAAATAATTATTATTAGATTAAAAAAAAACGCACATAGAAAACAACAACAAAAATACCTTAAATATACAACACTAGGGCCCGTCTTATAAAAAGATGCGATTGATGCGAGTTAATTAATCGCAGGTCATCAAATCAATCGCAATTAGTTTGTAGTCCCCTCTCTCTTATGTATACAGTTGCGATTGATATTAATTGCATAATCGCAAATTTGTATAAGACGGGGGGCAGATCAACACTGGTAATGCCGTACAACACCAGTTGCAATTTTTTGTCTCGAAATTTACTATGTTATAGAAATGAGGTGCAATAATAAATAATCAAACATCCCATATTTCAATTCAAACAAATTAGGAGCTGTTTAACAAACTCGGAGTTATCTGTAGTCTATATGTTAAGATGACTCGATACTTTGTATTTCTTTTCTGTAATTTTCTTGTCAATACTTTGTTTGGTATTTATACATCATGCCCAAAATGTCTGGGAAGTTGTTTGACGTTCTCAAAACCCAAACAAACATTAACACGTATACCCTCAGTGGGCAGGGAAGAGGGGATCTCTATTTCGGACATGGCTTTCAAGTCTTATAGGCTACATTGTGAGTTTCTGCACTGCACTGGAATATGTTATCTGAGAGTTTGTAACTGTTTTGATACTCTACTTCACTAGGACAAGGTGGATGCTTAAAGGAAAAAGAGAGGTAAGAAAGATTAAAGAAAACCAAAGGGAAAGTGGGATATTAGAACTACATGCAGGTTCTTTGACCGTATCAAACAGTTTTTAATAATATAAATCATGACTTTATATAGATAAGAGTACCTATATAATTTATATAGGATCTCTATGCAACCAGAGCTATTTATAAACAGAGTTTGTTCAATATTTGGTTTCAATTGGTCACAAAATAGCGTTATTCTTTTTAGTGCTTGACCAACAAAGCAGTATTCCAAAAGGGTGCCCAACTCGAATCGGGATGCCAAACTCTCCCGATCAATGGCGCTGTAAGAAAATATATAAATAGCGCCCTCTATGCTGTTTTTTTTTTAACACTTCCTAGCTCTTTAATTGAACACCTCTAAATTCTTTCTTTCTTTCATTTAAAAATTAATCAAAACTAACAAAGAGACAGACAGACGAACAAACACACGAACAAATATCATTGTCTTTGAATAACTCAACTAATGTCATGGTCATTGCATATTAAATCGACGAGTCATGGATAAATGATATATTTCCCCCAAATGTTTACTCCGACTTTCCATCTATAATGCCAAAGTTGGATCAAAAGAAAACGTGGAACACAGCCTTTTCTGATTTAATGCTAAATAAAGCCAAACACTGAGGTGCCGTGAGGTGGGTGGGGCACTTTTTTTTTGGGGGGGGGGGGGCTTAGATAGAACACAGATAATGGGCGTCTTTAAAATTCTAAAACGCCCTCCTTTTGCAAGGGGGGGGGGGGGTGTTTGAACACCTTAACACCCCCCCCCCCCTCGATACGCCACTGTGCAACAAAATATTTACCTCACAATTTCACTCACATTATCTTTCACTTTCCTCCCTCCTTCCCTCTCGAGCCCCCCCCCCCCCCCCCAACACAAATCACGCTGTATCTTATTTCCATGTTTCTAGCCTGATATCAAGTTGGTTTCATAAGTAATACATTTTTGAAGGTGCAATCAATCAAACACAAATTGGCAACCTCATAACATATCTTCCGAGGTCCCCTCCCATATATGCCCTGTACTAAAAAAAAATAATAAAAAAACTATATTTTCCCCTTAAGAGAATGTTCAATGTTCCAACATTCAACCTTAGTACATGTATAATTATTGCAAATGTTTTTTTCATACAACTCATGTAAAACTAATTCATTCTGTCGTCAATAACTAAACAAAATGAACGTTTATGTAAGTTCCTGTACAGAGCAAATTGGAGAGGAGCTCACAAGATACATCAGTGTTGCCAAGTTGTGTTCAATGGTGACAACTTCCTATTTTTAATCAGATATAGCTTAAACTTTCACCAATTTGTTTCTCTCATTTTTCTGTTTTTACAAAATTTTGCAAGATGGTTCTTTAATATGTCAATTGGAGCCTATTGTCTTGTGCAAATGTGCACATGTGGCAAATGAGTAACAATGCAGAGAGGCGTATAAAGCAATCAAAGAGTTAAAAAGCTGGCACTCGATACAAACAGGGTTCAAATTAAAAAAACAATACAATAATTTCTCAAAGAATGCAAAACCAGTTTGTACATAGTATTCATGTGTATCACCTTTTATTGTTGAAAACAATATATACAACATACTCCTTGATAAACGTCTCTGTACAAATATATTTAAAAATGTTGGGGAGATAATACATAGATAAATATACAAATTGTAGTATGGCAGCTTTTTTTTCTATGGTTGTTTTACACGACATAGCAAAGAAAAGTACATGATTGTTTTGACTAATTGCCTATAAACTTATTCTGTACTACAGAATATGGTCAGAGACAGAATGGCACTGACTTTGTAGTTAACATCCTTCTGACTAAAAAAAATCATTTGATCATGGTGACTTGATGCTTGTTCGGCTCTGTAGCAAAATAAGTAAGCAAATAAAAATAATTTTTCTAAACAAATGATTACTGGGAATAGAAGCATGAAAAAGCAGTCTAAAAAAACAAAAACACTATTTACACAAATAACAGTAATGATATTCAGGGCATCGCTTCAAGAAACCGTCATAAGTACAAGTTCACCGACATACCATTGAAATGCGTTTTAAACTTAGTACACATACATGTATTTCAATGGGTAGTCAGTGAACTAGTACTTATGACGATGAAAAGTATTCTGTTTGTTTTTAGCAATGTCCTGCCCTTCTACAACATATGTAAATCAAATGTAAATCAAATGTAAATCAAAAGTAATCTCACAAGTAGAGCTTGAAACAATTTGCCTACAGTACCTACAAAATACAAAGCAAATCTCAAATTAATCATTTAGTACTGCTTTTCAACTCTGCAATGATTAAGAATGCAAGCAATTTACAAATGTATACAGAATGTACATACAAAAAAAAAAAAATCAATATTTTGTTTTGACATCCTGTCATATTGTCATTTGTGACTCGCCATTTACTCTGATATGTATGCTGATAATTAGCAAAAATACAATGCTACATAATGTGAGCAAAAATATATATATACATGTACTTCAATCGAAAATCTAGCAACAGAACAAATTAAAGTTATCAAATCTGATATCCAATCATTTGCAAAATGAGAAATGTCATGGTTCACTGCACTAAAAAATGCACTCGTTGAAATTCAAAACACAATTGTGTATAAAACAAATGTATTCACATAATGCCCTCTTCCACTTTCTCCAAAAATAATAGGGGAAAATAAACTTCATCAACAGAAATATCAATCATACTATGTTAAATAAAAACAATTGAAACATAAGTAGTGTTTTTATGACAAGCATTAACATGCACATACCTTCCCTTTCACATATATGTATATCTCTCTGTGCCCAGCAGAAGATTGCAAACAACAAATTGTGTGAAATTTTAAAACTTTCTCATTTTGATCGCCGCAGTGATGTTATCACTATTCGCAATTTTGACAATGTTTGAACTGAAGAGGGCAGCACACATGAAATGTGCAATATGGTCATAAGTTGCATTTTTATCCTCCAAAGATTCACCTGTTGAACAGGCATCAATTTTTACCATCCTGCTGAGGAAAAGTTGGTAAGCTGGCGAAAATTTGCAGGCGCAAATTTACTGCAGATAACATAGTTTGCATTTTATATTAGGCCTTAGAAGATTAGCAATGACACATGCTTCTTTATTCTTACTTCTTAAACAGATGCTTCAAATCACAATACACTAATTCCAAGGACACATCCCCATATAATTACATTAAAAAAATTGAAGCCTCACTGCACTACTTATAGCTACTTGCGCCCTCTATATAGCAAATGCCTAATCGATGACCATTGGTCCCCATGATCCTCCTTTTCTTATGTTAATTGAGAGCTGATTTGATGAGATAACCACCCATCAGTGACCATGCAGGGAGGTCTAATCCCTCCTGGCCAAACTAGTGCAGTGGGGATTTAATGGGTGCTATTCTCAAAACTGTTTTTATCTGATGCTTTACAGAAATACATGGTTTGCAGAAATATTCAACTGTCACAACAAATACCACTTATGACTGGTCTTTGACTGTAGTACATAGATAGCTGCACACATCTGATTCAAAAAGATATCTCTGTAAACACTAGTAATGGGGTGTACCATAGTTTAAATTTGTTGAAACCATTACAATACCTTTACTGAAATGTAAAATGAAATACACACATGTTGTTTACAAAATACCCACATTCTGCTATTTAAATCTTACAATAGGCGGTGTCACACAGAGGCCCCAAAATCCGGATTTTAGTAATCCTCTTAATTGCTGTCTGTCATCAATATTATCTCTTCAAAAATTCTCCCTTGAAAGGATTTTTCAAGGGATTTTTTAAGGGATTTTTCTGTGTGACACTGCCTAATGTGTTGCTCTAAAAATACATGTATTATTGGTTTACATACAATCAATCTTTTTCAAAATACATGTACCTACAGCTAGGTTACTTAACAATAATTGCTTCTCTATTGATCGTCTCTTCATTCTATCACCATTCTATGTAATGAAAATAAAACATCAACAACAAAAGATCGTTGATCAATGTTGCTGGCAGAAGGCCGTTAGCATGCACATATGCCAAAAAGCAAATTTTTGATAACTCACTTCTAAGGTTTAAGTGCTCTATGAATGTCGACAGGGATTCCTCTCCTTATCGACTTATAACAAAAAAAGAGAAAATGGACAACTACCGCTACCTAATTTGAGCAGTATCGCATTGAATAATGACATCTAAAAAAATGTTACAACCTTCTGCTATACGTGATAGTGCATGTCCCTGTTTAACTGGACGGTGCGAAATGCTTATGGCCTTCTGCCAGCAAAAAGACGATGTTCAGGTACCCTGAAGGAAACATATCAATAAAATAATAGTCAGCAGGATGGGGATGGGAATGGGGGAAAAACTTTAGAATTGGAAGAAAATGAGAAAACATCCATTGTGGCACAGCGACTGGATAAGAGGGGTGATTGAAAGTGGAGATAACAAGTAGAAAATGTACGACATATAGATTCTTTCTCTACATGCACTAGAGAAATATGACACACATGAATATCATAAATTACAATCGCATGATTTATCTCCATCACCGCTTCCAAGATTCTGCAAGGAACAGAGAGGTTACTTAGGCAAATATTTTTTATTTTATTTTGTTCGTTTGTTATAATCATGTATGTATTGTAAATTCCGGGTTCAACATGCTGCATGTGTATGCTACTTGCTCTTTTTTGTGGACCCCTCATTTTCATTATTTTTTAAATTTTAATTGATATGTAATGTTCTCTTCATTGATGATGCTCTGTTGTTTATACATCTATGTATTTTGTTTTTAATGAGAGTGTAAATAAAGACTGAATTGGGGGGTGTTTCATAAAGCTGTTCGTAAAGTTATGCATGACTTTACAAACGACTTGTATATGAAAAGCCAAATGGGATGCTCAATCATTATTAAATACATCAACTAAAGTTGAAGTGTGCAGATGTAGATTAACATTCTTAAAAATATCAGAAAAAACTTTGGGCATCCTATCTGGCACTCTATATACAAGTCATGCGTAACTTTACGAACAGCTTTATAAACCCCCCCCCCCCCCCCCCCCCCCCCGAACCAACTATTAATTTGTTAAAATAAGGAACTTAACTTAAGGATCACTGATAAATTTAACTAAATGTTATTTTAACCCAGCATAACGTGCAGCTGGATTATAATGAAAGACTTTATAACTGTTTACTACTTACTATAGTGACAGAACATCTGTTGGGTAAACTTAGGGGTCGTTGGAAAGCAGGGCTGAATTGGTATTTCTCGAATGTCCTAAGGTTATCTCCATGATTGCTTTGTTATAAAAGATACTATACACATGAACATATCATAGCAAAAAAATAAAAAATAATCATCAATGACTATATGTCACTGCAAACTATATAAATACAGGATTTTTACCATACCACTTTACTCTTGTGTAGGAGTTCAACCTGTTGTCATATTTTCAATTTCAGCACCATAGAAATGATATCTGGGCAATTGTATATATTTTTATCTCAGCCATCCGGGCAATCGCTGAAATTGTCAAAATCAAACTTTTCAGCAGACTGAAAAAGAAAATAATGTCATATTTTCTGTAATTTGTCATCCTGGGCTACTTGGGGGAGGGGGGGGGGGGGGGGAGGGGGAGGGGGTTGGGTTGACTGGGTAGTGGCACCTGTACTAATGCTTATTTTTGGAACTGCTATATCTTTTTATGTTATAGCCTGCATCACATAAATAACTCTACTTCATATCCAATAATATTTTGAATATTCAAGTGAAAATGAAAGAGTTTAATTGTCATAAATCTATCCCAAAGTGCAAGGAAATAGGGACAGTTGGTTTCAAAGAAAAATACAAGAAGTATGATTGTCAATTAACAAACGTTAATACTTCTCTTGAAATTATTGAATTTTAGGAAACACCTTCTTCCAGTTGTAAAAAAAAGAAAAAAGAAAAAAGTAGAATAAAACTGAAACCACCTGTCAATTCAGGGTTTCTTGGCAGCTGCTGTCATTATATAATCCATGACCCCAGGTTTTTCAAACAGTTCATCTAGTTTCTCATCATCATAGTCCCCTTTGAGGAGAACATTCAAAGTACCGTCAGAGTTTTTCTCAATATCCAGGAATGAAATGGCTTCATCCAGGGTCGAATCCTGCAGGGACAATGAAGAGGGTTCAGCTCTGGAGGACATCTCTTGTGGTCTTGATTTTGTTTCATCGGTGGAGGTTCCAGCAATGGATGACGTTCTTGGGGGTTGGAGACCGGGGGCACAGGGGTCTTCATCCGCAGTGTCTTCGATATCATCGTCAGAGGCGATGTTCATGTCCAAGGAGATGGGGCTGGAAGGCGGGGACGGGTCTCCTGCATCGAAGAGTGCCTCGTCATGGTCTTCGTCGTTCCCCATCGCAGCATAGGATAGACAAGCTGCATCGTCATCGGTCACATCTTCCCCGACAGAAAAGCCATCTGGAATCTCTTTTTCTCCTTCAAAAGCCTTTGCAAAGAAGGGTGGACCAGTGGAGCCATCACCAATTGAACTTTGATCTTGCTTCGAAGTTCCCTGATCCTTCTCCTCAACAACAAATAAAGGATCCTTAGCAGCCTCATCAGCAGAGGTGTCTTTTCGATGCTCCATTTCCTCGTTGTTCCTCACAGCAGAGTTAAATGATTCAGGAATCTTTTGGTCCACTGAACTGCCTTCAGGCTTCTTACCACTTTGGTCTCTCTCTTCTGAGGCATGTAATTGATCATCTTTGTTGCTGTCAGTGATATCTTGCTGCTTGCTCTCAGAGTCATTGCTACCGCTGCCATACTCTGCAACATTATATTCTTCTTTCTCCACTTCCATCTCCTCTTCATCACTGCTCTCTTCGTTTTTACTGCCATCATCACTGTCTTCATCTTCCTCCTCCTCTTCACTTTCACTGTCATCAGATGAATCAATCGAATCGTCGTTTTCGACTCTGGTTTTTGCTCTTGATATCAGAGCAGCCAGGGCACCCGTCATCTGCAATCCACCGGTTTTCTTCTGCAAGGTCACTGCTGAATTCTTCTCTTCTGCACGTTGCAAGTCATTTGATACACTTGCTGTAAATTTAGAGTGTGAGGTGGAGGCTACACTTTCTTCTTCTCCCACGGGTGAACTGTTCTCCTTTTCATGATAGCTATCATTCAATGACATGGCTGTTGAGGCTCTTGTGCTTTGTTGACCATCCACTTCATCAACGGAACTATCCTCAGAATCATCTAACATGACACCTCTTGCTTGAGCATGTTCTTTCTGCTTCAGGTATAGACCTGTATCCGACCCTTCTTCATGTTGAATGCTGTTTGCAGCAGTGGCTGTCAGGGCAGATGTACTTTCTTGATTATCGACATCATCAGCAGAACTAGAATCAGAGTCATGCAAGGTGACACCACTGGGATGTTCGTCATCACTGTGCTTCAAGGACGTTTCTGAAACATAGTTTTCTTTACGGTGGATGCTGTTGGATGCAAGTCCAACTGCTGTGGAAATTAGGTTGCCAGAACTAGAAACATCTCCCTCGGGTTTCAAGGATACTGCTGAACTCTGCCTGTCTTTACTCTGGATGCTGTCTGTTACTAGTACAGCTGAAGTGGATGATTTGTTGAGTAACTTCTCTGGTCCTTTCTCTCTAACATCTGAATTAGAAGCTGAGACATCAAATCCAACTCTACTAGGCCCCAGGGCTTCATCAGTGTTCTCTCCTGCCGAACTGTTACCACTGCTTAGAGTACCCCCTGTCAACCTGTTCATAATTTCATCTATAACATTCACCAAAGGGGCTTTGTTTTGTTTTACACCCGATCCTTCCCTTTGAGGTTCGATAGGTTGAGTACTTTGAGAAGAGTCTTGGCTTGTTTTACTGACTAGCGTGCACTGAGACACTGAAGGAATGGAACTAACCTTCTTGGCCCCCCTGTCCGTTTTGGATTGTTTCTTGGCTACATTTTGGCTGCCACGTCCTTCCAACACAGTTCTACCGTCCAGACTCTTTAATGTCCCTCTTTCATTCTCCTTCTTTTTCAGCTTATCATTGGTGCTACCGGCCTCTTCTGCTATGACTAACACATCGTCATCGGAATCTGCACTCTCTGCATAACTTTTTTCTTTTCTGTGAGACATTTGTTTGACCTTTGGCATTACTCTCTTCATACCTGTGAACTCTGCGCTTGATTCTGAATCGCTCCTGCTCTCTACATTTTCTTGCTCAAAATCATCGAGATCAATGTTGATGGTAACAATGTCCTGTTCAGACTCCCCTTTTTCTTGTCGCCATCAGAACCAAAAGCTCCGCTCTTCTCCAACCTCTTGTCGTTGGCAGTGTCCTCATCCTCACTCTCAGGAATGAAGCCGTCATCGCTGTATGGCTCTTCATCGTAATCCATCCCATAGTCTTCCTCACCCTCATCGTCCTCCCATGGCTCATCACTGCTGGACACGTAGCAATCAATCGGTAAAGATTCCTCTTCATTGGAAGAGCTGTCGTGATCCCCCTTGCCGCTGTAAACACCATATCTGCCATGTGACAACGGTCCGGAACCAGAGGGCACCGATAAGTCTATGCTACTTTCCTGATCTTCTTTCTGTGATTTACTGAGGGATGCCTTGAGGTCTTTCTTTGTTAGAGGCATAAAATTCAGATACTTATTGAACCCTGGTGGATCTTTGGATGTGGGATAAGGACCAAAGGCTGTCTTTAGAGAGCTACTTGATGTCTTTTCCGAGTGACGGTTGTGACTTTTCTTCTTGCTCTTTTTCTTCTTGAAGTCAGCGTAAGCGTCGCTACTTCTCTCTATACTGGAATCCTTCTTTCTGATGCGACTGTCAAGAAACTGCTCAAAAGTCTTTGAAGCTTTTCTCTCCTTGCCCATGCATGTCAAGTCTGCTGAGGAATCTTGAATATCCTTGCTTCCAAAAGATGTAGCAGAAATGTGTTTGCTTTTTTTCTTCTTGAAGACAAGGGAAGGATTACCACTCCTCTCTGCACTGGAATCCTTCTTTGTGATGTGACTACCAAGTGTCTGCTCCCAGTTCTTCGGGGCTTTTCTCACCCTGCCCTTGCCTTGCAGATCTGTTGAAGAATCTTGGATATGCTTGCTTTCTGGAGGAACAGCCGGATTGCGTTTGCTCAGACCAGCCCTTATCCTGTCCATCGATTCAGCAAGTCTGGAGCCTTCAGGAAAGATGATCTGTCCATTACACCTTGCATGATCTGAGGGAAAAAAAAAAGTATAAATTTATTTGAACTGATTCATCCCATACAGTTGTGAACTGCCCTATCATTGAAAAAACGTAAGTTTGTAATCTACAATCAAGTCATTTGCCGAAAAAATAGGAATATGTCTGAAATTATTATGAAGTAATGGTTATAAACTATTATATCATTCACGATATGAATTTAAACTTTCTACTGGTTATATGGAGTAGTGATATTCGTCATAATTACACTAAGAATAGAAAATGACAAGACAAGTAACTTAGGCTTAACATATAGTATGCAGGCGAGCTTTCATCCACTCCTGTGGAATTTCTGAAGCCAACTAATTCTTCACCCAGTTTCCTGCTGTCTGCTGCCTTGATATCAATGGAGCCAAGATACATGAAGGTGACAAAAACTCTGGCTATTCACTATCGCGTATCCTCACTCAAATGATCTTGAGGCACCAAACAGCAAGAAACTGTGTGAGAATCATTTGCCCTGACAAAATCCTCAGGAGTTGATGAAAGCTTGCGAATAGCAAACATAAAAATTAATGAATGGGTATGAAGTATTCACAAATTTTCTCACGCCAACCAAAACACACACAGACTCGGTCACTTAAGTACACACACAAGTTTAGGCAGCCCATGGTACTTTTCGAAGGTAATGTGCGTGCGTCCTGCAATCTGTGCAATATAGGCGTGGGGAGAGAAGGAACGTGCAGGGCAGGAGGTGACAGCATTGCATTACGAACATAAGACCAATGCAGTTAAGTGGCTAGCGATCGAGAGGACGCATGCACGTAATTTTATGCTGGTATTTTCGCGCTCTAGAAAGATGAGATGCCAATATTTTCATGTATTGATAAATTTGCGATAATATGCAATTCGCGAAATATAAAACCCTCGCAAAAATAAAAGCTTATTCAGAAAATTATTCAGGTTGGTAGAAGCCTAAGTTATCACCCTAACCACTCAAAGTGTTCCGGATCAAAAAATTATATGGTTGCAGAGCCTGTCTATTATTAGTCAGCCTATTCAAATGTTCTTTAAACTCTACATGTCGTTCACAAACAATTAAAGAGCTTAGCCCTGGTGGTCAAGGTTTAGTTAATTAAAAAAAGGAAAAAAAGAAAGTCAGTCCATTTTGCCAACTTAACTCAAGAACAACTAGATGGATCATTGACTGCGTGCAGTCAAAAATGATGCCTCCGCCACAGAGCGATTTTACAAACCAAAACAGATGCAATTTTTTGAGAAGTTTGATTGTAATCCATTAGCAGGTTCTCAGAATATCGTGATTACAAGCTATTTTTCATATGGCTCCGCAAGATACATGTCCTGAGTTAGATAGTAATAAATCTGTCGCTTCTAATAATGCGTTCACAAGCTATTTTGCATACATGAGCCCTATAACCTTTGACCTTGTGACCCTAATCTCTCATCAGTTCATTGGCTCTGCAAGATACATACATGTCTTGAGTTTGAAGGTAATCCATCTGTCGGTTCTAATGACAATGCGATCACAAGCTATTTTTGCATACATAATGAGCCCCATGACTTTTGAACTTTGACCTCATGACTCCAAAATCTAATCAGTTCATTGGCTCTGCAAGAAACGTCCATGACATAAGTTTGACGGGAATCCATCAATTGGTTCTTGAGATGACACGATCACGAGAACGGGACGTACAGACAGACAACTCCAAAACGTAATTGTAGTGGAGGCATAAAATATATAGTAACCAGTAGTATGAGTTTAATCCAAGTGGATTTAAAATAAAAGAGATAAACTTGGAGCATCTACGAAATTTCAAGAAGATTGTTCCTTAAAGATTTCCTAAATTGACAGTTTAACTACATGTCTTCAGCAAACTATGAAACAACACAATATGACAATTGGTATATTGGTACATTTTGTAAGTAGTTTTGCAGAAGTCAAAGATCTTTTATAATTTTTTTTTTTCTTCCACGAATAAAAGTACTCACGAAGGAGGTTGCTATGGACATAGACAAGTCGTCTCTGCTGTTTCTGGAAAAGTTCTTTTTCCATCAGTAGTTCTTTCTCGATAATTGTCAGTTTCTTAATCTCTGCAACAGCCTGGAACAGAAAGAAAAAAGATCATCAGATTAGAATGATTAGTTTGATCAAGGAATGAGTGTTAGACTCTTCCAGCAAGTACTACAAATTGCAGTTTGTTTAACTTTTTGCATAAATAATTAGGTATTTTCACATTTTTAATGAGATGTGGCTGTGTTTTGATACCATGTATCTTCATATCAAATTTCATTAAATCCGTCAACGTTACTAAAGTTGTTGAATGGAAACTGGATTAGCTCGCGTATTTAATGAGCTATGACCTTCTTGGACCTACATACTCGAAAATGGAACTTAGGCTGTGTTTTGATACCACGTACCTTTATATCAAGTTTCATTAAAATCCATCAATCATTACTAAAGTTATTGAATGGAAACCAGATATGTTACGAACGTAAGGAAATGGCAGCTATAAACTATATATCCCCTCCGACTTTGTCAGCGAGGGGATAATTATTATTATTATTATTATTGCTGATGTTGTTAAGGTTGTAGCTGTCGCAGTTAATATTTTGGTAGTGTTGTAGTTGTTTAGTTGTTGCTGTTGTATAAAGTACCTGCTTCAAGATATGAATCTTAGGGGGAACTCTCTTGTGGGCTAATCCATGCTCAGCTGATACTTCATGCTCTTTTGATCCACGAACGGCGTCGCTGAGCCCAAGGAATGTCTTCCGAAGTTCCTCCCTTCGTAGGCGCTCCAAATGGTTGTGATTGCTCTGTTAAAATAGGAGTCATAGAAATCCAATTTAATCCACATTCGAGACATGGATGATATAAAATGGGTCTAAATGAGGTACTCACAAATATCTACATTTCAATCAAATATCAAATTGTCTTTAGTGCATGCAGTAATATTATACGCATAGGACATTTTTCATAATTCTGAAGAAAAAAAAAAAAATCATAAATGAAATGAGGAATCACTATGTTCACATTCTGTAAAATACCCAAAACAATAACAAATGAAATAAACACAAACGCTGCATACAAATGCCAGACAGTGAAATAAAAAAAAAATGTGCCAGTTTAATGCACGACAATTCAAAGAAAGAATTATTTCCTGTTATGTTTAGAATGTTATTTTAAGATCACATTGTAGAGTTTTCATGCCATCCACATTATTATAACATTGTGTACAGGTTAATTTTTTCCCTTAAAAATGCATCTCCAGTTTCTTATCTTTATTATTGTCAATGCAAAGTGTCATTTAACGTTTTGTAGAAATATCTCTGTGGCAATTTTTTCTTTGAAACCTTTATAGTTAATTTTGTCCCAAGGACCGGTAAGATGAACAATACAGAAATTTCTCTGGATAATGACTGCCAACTTTTTTCTTTCATTGTTTTGATTATTAATTTCTCTCAGCCGTTTATCTCTGAATAACTAAATGTTATTGGGTGTAGGCTGAACAGAGGGACATGTAAGCTTTTCATATGAATAAAATATGTCAATTACTACTCCCATGTCCACTGAACACATTATTTGTTGAAAAATCCATGCAGGCATTCAAGGGCAAGCAGTTTAACATAAATAACAATCTATTATTTGACCCTTCAACTTTGACCTACTCTGTGCATTACCGTATTTTGTAAGCATTCATCTCACAACTTATTCCCAACTCACCTACCCTAATCTATGCCCACAGAATGGGATTTTTGTTTTTGGTTTACTTTGGTGCATTTTCTTTCCGGTCAAAGATATTTGGTTGCAATTTTTTTCCGTTCCTACCGATTTTTGTCACATATTCTAAAGAGAGTGAGATGGAAAGCTTCAGTATATGTGCATATTAATTTCTTTCATGCTACTATCTGGCCATCAATTAAAAAATTAAATTCTGGGGTGGGCTAAAGTTAACTCTGCAGAAGTCAAATCTGTTGGGACTTAACAAAATAGTTTGAATTACAAATGCAATATTCAACTTAAAGGGATCGTGTAACAATGTCAAATCTGAGATACACGGCCCTACTTGTTATCAGTGTCTGTGATATGGTGTAATATTGAAGTCCTTAAAAGATTGCACTTCAAAATTATCAAGAAGTGCCTCAAAAAAGTAAAAATCTTTGAGTGACCGGTTTTCCCCAATAGACTGTAGTGTTATGAAAACCATTTGGCAAACGGTTTTCAAAACTTGTAATTCCAATCATAAATATCTTCATAATCAGACAGGCGATCGGCTTGTAAAAGTCATAGGGTTTCTGACTGACCAAAAGGTTTATAATTATCATTGCAGCATGAGCTAAATCCAGAATTTTGTTTCAGAATCTGAGACAAAGTGACCGGATCCCTTTAAAAAGTGTAAATAACACACGTTTTGCATAGTTTGTTCAAAAAATTGATTTGACTTTGGGGGAATTTGACATGTGCGACTTTTAGTTATGCAGAATTAACTGTATATCACAATCTTATAACTTACTTACCATTCGTTCATTAACCTCCTCCTCCTCCTCCTTCTCTTCCTGTATCTAAAAGACAAAGACATTATAAATATGTTTCTCAATCACAATATTAACACAAACATATTATTATCACATAAGTAAACTGTTTACGCAATTTGACTGCAAATACTAAACAGGGTGTCCTAGAAAAACGGTAGCTGGAGTACAGCGCAGAAATTTTGTATCATTATTAATTTCATTGATACTGACAGGATAATTCATGTGTATTAAAAGCTCAGTTTCTCTTCTTTCATTTGATGCACTACTTATCATTGATAATTCACACATGATTGAATCAAAATAATGGAAATTGGTGCTACAAAATCATTTAAAAAAAGTAATTATAGTATTTTAAAAAAAATAAATAAAAAAAAATCATATATAAAAATTCAATACTTTCTCGCACCTATGACACCTTATGCATTAAAAAATAATGATGTATGCCAGTGAACAAGTAAAATGAAAACATGCTTACTTTCTGCCCAAATAAGTGTATATTTAAGAAGCAATTCAGGTTTCCTGACCTAGCAGCTAATAATGGACTCAATGGTTGGGTGAGTTAACACAAAACATTTCGTTGTAACAGCGAAAGTAGAGAGCGGTGGGTGACAGAAGACGGATTGGAAACGGAAAATTATTATTGTTATTTTAGGGATTATAAGCCAGGTTTTAAAATGGATAATTTGAAATTGAAATGTTAACATTAACAGGTCTGTTTATCTCTTGCTACAGTCATGCTTCATCTAATCAATTTTAAGCAAAAGAGATTTTTGTGTTTTTCTGTTAGAATACCAAAGTCTGGTACAAAAGAATTTGAACATGATATTTTCAAAATAATGTTGCTCAATGAAGCATGTATGGATTAATTCGATCAATGTATCAATTGAAAGCTCATTACTTGTACTTATTATAAATTAAAAAGAATAATTTCATACAGCTGGTCAATCACAATGATTTTTTATTTTTTATTTTTTTTTTGGGGGGGGGGTTTTGTTTTTTCTAGGATGCAAATATGTACCTCTGAACTAATGAAGTATGAGTGCATGGGAAAATAATTATAGAAGAAAATAATATCTAAATTTTCAGGAAAAAAAGAAGATAATGCAATCCTTTCCAACACATTGATCCTTATCAATATTGTTTATTTAAAAAAAAAGATTGAATAAATAATTTGATTCATTGTAACTTGTTAAATAAAACATTTTCAGAGGAAAGGAAACAAAATTGAATGCATTCAGTAAACTCACCACTAAAGGTTGTTCGGTGTAAACCACCCGATAATGAGGAGAATCCCACTGCTTCGCTGGGCAAACTGGAGATTTTCTCTTGGACTTTTTCTTCTTGTGCTTGACCGGAGCAATTGCTGATACCTGCGAATTAATTTTCATGGGCGCACGGTAGACACTTGATGATTTATGTTTTTTAATGTGCGTTGGAGAGCCAAAGCTATGTCCAATTGAAAGTTTAAATGGCGGGTTACTGGATGAGTTGGGTTTGATCTTCTTTTGTTCCATGTCCATCGCCTGTTCCTTTCGCAGGTTACTGGATGAGTTGGGTTTGATCTTCTTTTGTTCCATGTCCATCGCCTGTTCCTTTCGCAGGTTACTGGATGACTTGGGTTTGATCTTCGTTTGTTCCATGTCCATCGCCTGTTCCTTTCGCAGGTTACTTGAGAGTCTTGAAGTTATGTTTCTGAGAGAGGAATACGGGTTTAAGTTTTGGAAAGCTGGAGTGACGCCAACAACAGATTCAACATCGACCTCCTCATCATCATCGTCTGTGTTGACAACATCTACCTCTGTATCTGATGGATCACTGTCTTGGATTAAGGTTGGTGATCTGTCTTGAGTGTTCTCTGAAAGAACTTCTGACGATGGAGACATGCATATGGGTGATGGGCATACTGGAGGCGTACATATCGTAGAAGTGAAGTTATCTGTTTCTGACGGACCGGCATCTGATAGATCATTGTCTTTGACTGGGGTTGGTGATCCATCTTGTGTGTTCTCTGAAAGAACTTCTGACGATGGAGACGTACATATGGGTGATGGGCATACTGGAGGCGTACATATTAGAGAAGTGAAGTTATCTGTATCTGACAGACCGGCATCTGATGGATCATTGTCTTTGACTGGGGTTGGTGATCCATCTTGTGTGTTCTCTGAAAGAACTTCTGATGATGGAGACGAACATATTGGAGAAGTGCAGTTCTCGTTACTGGTAGCTACAAATTTGATGTTCATAATTGGTGACTTCTTTGGATGAACAGTTGGGTTTCTCATGGGGGTGGTTTCTGTTTGGATAATATCCTCAGCCAATGATGGCTGATTCTCTGGCACATGCTCAGGTATGACAGGAGTTGACATGAGGGTGTCTAATGACTCTCCCACAACTGGAACTTCTGGTGTGTTTTCAGTATGAAGAAGGATCCCTGCATCATAGTTGGACTCGTCTTTTGAGCTTCGGGAGTCCTTTTGTGTCGGGTCAGTCAAGTCTGTGCATACCCTATCTTTGCTAGCTGCTGGCGATGGTAGATTTTCCTGAGTATCTCCTTTCGCTTCAGGGGTTTCTGAAGTTTCCTGAATATGGTCCTTGGGTAATGATGTGCTCATCCCCAAGTCGGCATTGGATATATCATTAGTAATGCCTTCATAAATTTTCAGGGATGCAACAGAGGAGTTGTCATCATCATTGCAGTCTGCAGGCAAGTCAAAGGAACATGGCACTTCCTCGTCAACATCCAAGGGTCTGTAAGCATCCTCTTCACTAAACCTTGCAAAGTGTTCAATACCGAGAGTTCCTTCTGCATCCGCAATGCCAATCTCTCCTTCTGCATCCATTTCATCATCAATATTAGCATCTGGTGAAGGAGATACAGCTTTAGGTGGATCAGATCCCCCAGAAGATATTAATTTACTTTGTTGTTCACTTAGTCCACCAATATCTGTCTTCTCATTTATTTCAGAATTGTTAGAGGTGTCAACAAGAGTTTTGGAAGCTCCTTTCTCAGGTTTATTATCGATCTGACTATTACAGGTAGAGACAATACTAATGGCATTGCTGTCTAACAGAAGATCAATAGTTTCAGAGAGATTATACTGGTTCTCTTTATTCAAATGTTCAGTTCTTGTTATTAGCTCTTGGAAGGGCTCCGCTTTATCCTCAACAGACTCTTCTGATGTTTGAAAGATCTCATTTACAGGTGTTTCTGCTTTCTTATTATGCTCCATTGCAACAAAATGAACATTTTCAGATGCCTCTCCTTCATCTTTGGCCAAACTTTTTCCTTCACAAGAGTCTGGATCATTGTCCATTGTGTTTTGGAAAGCTGTCTTTTCACCCTTTGCAGATTTCCTGGGAGACAGGACTGGTGATGGTGATGTTGAGGGTCTTTTTGAAGTTGTCTGTGGCGTTGGTTTAATCGGGGATTTGCCTCCTTTTCCAAACGGGGATCTTTTATCTTTGTTTCTCTGAAGAACTACCTTAACACCTTCATTTTCTGTAGTGAACCAAGGACCTTTCACTCCTGTGTAATTTTGCAGTTCCCATGGCTTCTGGATCTTTGGATTGTGCAACCAATCTGAAACATTCCGGGTTAGTTTCTTTACTGGACTTAATCCATCATCATCATCAACAGAAGTTCGTCTTACAATCTCTGACAACTTATCAAACCCTGGTAGAGAGGAAGACAATTTCTTAGAAGTTTCCATCCCACTGTCAGACACGGATTGTGATTTATCATGTGTATTGGAGGCAGCATATGCTTTCCCAGGGCTAGATCCAGGGACCAGAATTGCCTTGCTGGTTGCAGAATCGATTTCTTCTTTATCCTCATGGCTTGCAGATTCAGAGGGTGAACAAACTTGGATGACAGATTTTGTGGCACTATGCTCCTGTTCCTGCAAACTGGCAGCTGCATCATGTTTCTTGGAAGAAGTTGCCAATGGAACACAGGTATTTGATTTAACTCGCGGTTTTACTAGACAAGTCTTGGCTGGTACTGCTGTTGAAATTTCCTTTTCAATCAAGTTCTGAAGTGCTTGCCGAGCCACATTAAGCTGAACACTGGGTTCTGTCCCTTTTGAAGAGACTGGAGCTGCTGCAGTTGCTGGAGCTTCTACCCCTGGTTTAAGTACTATCCCAGATGATGTCAGTTCGAACCGTACAGGCAAGACTGCTCTCTGGTGTCCAGAAGTCACACTGGACACTGAACTGCCAATTTGTGCAGTTGGGAGTTTTAGCCCATCTTCATTCTGTACAGAGGATTGCATTGAGGTATTCTTGATCGGTTGGGCTACTTGTACAGGGATTGCTGATGTTTCATATTGTGCACATTTCACCTTCGGTGCAGGGCGTCTGGCCTCAGAAGCACAAAAAGGTTTGCTTTGTTCCATAGCTGTTGTGACAGAGAGTGGTTCGCAAGTGGCTGGTTGGCAACTGGCTGGTATCAATATCCTATTTCCATTTGGCAGCATGACCATGTTCATCAGATTGCCATTCAACAAGTATTGCTTTGATACTGGTAAGAATGTTGATCCTTCAGGTGCTTGTCCTTGGGATGACGTAGACGCAAGAGAGAGTGGTGCAGTCATCTCAGCATAAGGGATGTTCTTCACTTTGCTCTTGGAATAAACTGCTTCACTGGCTTGATCTGAAACTTGCCCCCTCTTCCTATCCTTGGCTGCAAATATCAAGGGTATGAACTCCTTTTTTCTGTGATGTGATTTTTGCTGCTTTACAATACGCTGAGTTCCATGTTGCAGATCACGGTTGCTATTGGTTAATTGAGGTTTTGAACTCTCGGAAGCCAAGGGATGAGCAACATTTGATACAGCAGCTCTTTTCTTTTCCACCTGCTGATCTGCTTCATCTCCTTGCCGTTTCCTCTTCAATTTGATCCATTTATCTGGCTTATCAGTGACGAAATGCCTTGTCCTAGCACAACTACTGACCAAATTCCTTTTCTCACTCTCTGGGAGATGATCAAGCAATTGCATTTTCTTCACTTCTCCTGTGGTACTTTCGGGATCCCCAACCCTCCAAAACTTGTACGATTCATCATAAAAGAGCATATCACGAGCATGTGTCGGAGGCCGTCGTATTCTTGTACCTGTCACGGACTGTGATGAAGACTTCTTGCATATGCAATCGAACATGCAATCCACTTTGCGGCAATGATTACTCAGTTCTTGCACCGGTCTTGCTTCATCTAGATTGCTACATATGCATCCAAGACGACAGTATTCCTGGTATTCCTTACATTTCCCCCCAACTTTAGTCTCAGACGGAGCCTGACCTTCTTCACTTTTGGATTCTTTGCTTGCAATGTTACTTTCTTCTTGTAAAAGATCCCCATCTTTTCCACTAGGTGAGAGATTCATGTTCAAGATGGATGGTAGGTTTTCATCAGCATATGGTCGATCTTCATTACTTTCTTCTGGCTCCTGCTTAATATTTTTAGTGCCTTGCACCTCGGCCTCATCAGATTGGCGTTTACCCGTAGCTTTATCAGACAAGGAAAGAACATTTCTGACGTCAAGAAATCCTTGAGACTTGTCACCAACCTTGCTGACATCTTGCCGCTCTCTCGCAAATAGAGGTCTCGCAAATGATTTTCCATAGCTAGTAAATGGAAGCTTGGGTAGTTTTCTAACCAAGTCATCAGGTCCAGTCCCAAAGACAAACCCGTCCTTGATTCTATACTTGTTTTTATCTTTGTGTTTCTCCTTTTTCTTCTTTTTCTTCTTCTTTTTCTCACCTCTGTGTTCATTATGAGAATCCTTGAGAAGTAAGCTGCTGTAGCTTGGAGAAGCAACATTCAATGGTTTTTGTCTCTTGAGTGCCATGTCCAGCGTCTTCACAGAATGACTCTGTCTACTTGGTACTTTGAAGACTACCTTGGCATTGCTCACAGATATTGTAGAAGGGGAGATGAGAGGCTTCATCTTATTGTTCATGCCAACTCCTTGCAGAAGATCTTCAAGCGCATCACTCACAAATGCAGATTTCTTTGAAGCGACAGGTTTTTCGAAAGGTTTGAAGGGGAGACTCTCCTCTACCGGAAGCCTTGCACTGGGCTGTGGTACGGTACTTTTTGTGACAGCGGAGGATGATGGTAATTGTAGCTGTTGAACATTGACTGGAATGTGGGAAGTAGGACTCTTTACAGGCACTGTGCTTTCCCTAGGTTTAGTGGACAAGGCTAGAGGACTCTGCTCAACTTTTGTGGGAGATGTGCTCTTTGCTTTGGTTACAAGCTTCAATTTCAGAGATGGTCTCTCCGATGGAGCATGCAATTCCTTTTGACAAACTGCCCACTCTTGATGTCTAGCCTCACTTCTTTTCGTCTCTGTCTCTTTCTTTGACTGCTCAGAGCTCTGCACTTTGCTAATGCTCTTCTGCAAATCTGGAAAATGTCCATGCTTCAGTCCAACAACCTTCCCTGTATCCGAGGGCTTCTCTGCATGCTCTTTTTTACAGTCTTTGTCTATGCTACTTTTCCTCACTTGCAAACTTGAGAAATGTCTATGTCTCGAAAGCCCAACAAAATTTGAATGCCTGCCATGCCCTCTGGCATGTGATGTGTGGCCAATTTCCGACTTTGACCTATGCTTTTTCTTATGCTTTGGTTTTTTGTATGACAGTCTTTCAAGTTCTTCGTTTCGCACATTCACAACTAGATCATTTTTCTTGACTGCATCCAGAGCAACTCCTTTTCTACTAAGAACAGGATGGACTATTTCTGTAAGACCCTTGCTTTCCATGGACCACAGTAAATCCTGTTCAAGAGCCTTTATCTTTGCCTCCATTGGGTTCTTCCTTCTCTTTTTCATCTTAACATTTTTCACAGCAGGGTACACACATTTCTTGGAAGGAACTTTGTTTGTTTGAGTAGGCTTTCTCTGCATTTTCAGCTTCATTGCCTTGGAATATGATACAAGATCATCCCTAGTTTCAAATGCTAAGAATGGTACGTTGTCCACATTTTCTTCGTCCGGTGCAGGGAAGATTGGAGAAGACAAGGATGCCTCTCTCTCACCAAGGGATGATGGATTCACCTCCAGACACAGTTCCGGAGGTTGACTGTTCTGGGGAGGTATGTCTTTCTGCCTGCTCCCTTGTCCATCTCCTGTACCCGTTTCTGGTGTCAGGCTGGGAATACTAGTACCTGGTGACTTTATATTTGTCAAAGAAGGGAGACCGTGATCTGATGAATTGTTACCAGATAAAAAAATGCCTGGTGTATCGTGCGACTCATTACGAAAAGACAAAGTTGGGAGCCCGGTGTCTGGTGCGTTGTTATTTGACAAAGTGTTGGCAGTATTAAGTTCAGTATGTTTTGTCCTTGTTGATTTGTTCCTTTCGCCCGAGCAACTTCCAGATAGTACTATCGAGTCTTTTGACGAAGCAGAAAGATATGAGCTGCTGTAGGGGTTACCTGTATCAATTTGAAGCTTTACAATGTTTTTAGGCGACAATGGCTTTTTCGCACTACCAAAGAGACTGAATATGTTCCTGGCGGACTCTGTTGCATTGCTATGGCCAGATTCTTCAGTTTGATTGAGGGAATCTGTTCCACTTGTTCCTTGAATTTCATCATACTGCATGTTTGAGGGCTCACTATCTTCAACCAGCGTCTTTGAATCCTGACTTGCTTCAAGATTCCTGTTTGAATGCTTGATCGCTTCATGTTGCATGTTTGAATGAGAGTCACTCTGAAAAGTACTGGACTCTAACAAGCTATCCAATTCCTGTAGAAGATGATGTGTGTTTGGTTGAGCTTGTAACTTTGGAGGGCCTTCTTCTAAACTCCTGCTCCTGTGGATACGTGTATCTGCATTCCTGAGAGTGGCATTGGCTGTCTCTAAGATTCTCTCACTACAGCTTTTTGACAAAGCACCTGATTTCTCAACTTCATGGAGTCTCTCAACAAATCTCGCATCACTCTCTGTTTTGGACACACCAAAGCTGTTCAGAGATTCATTACCTACGGATGGTAAACTATCATCCAGACCCAGTGAAGAGTTCGCATCCCCACCGAATGAACTGCTGAGGTCAACATCCTGGAAGTCACTGTTTCTTTCTCCCTCTGACTGCAGACTCCACACACGTAGGACATGACTTTCCTCTTCATCCTGTACCTTACTGGAGTCTTCATCATTATCTGATGGAGAATCAGCATGGGCTTGCTCATCAATGAATAGACACTCGCTATCATCAAGTTCACTTGACACATTACTTGGATATCGCTTATGCTCAATTTCTGCCGGTAATGTCAGAGTAGGCATAGCTATGTCCTTGCTGGGTCCTTCCTCAAGTTTTGTAGGGCTGGCTGTGCCACTCGTAGCATCCTCTGCTAATGAAGCGTCTTTATCTTGATTTTGGTTTGTCGAGACCAATTCCCCAGTGTCGGGAAGTGCATTTTTTCCTCTTTTGTTTCTTGTTTTACTACCACTTTCCTTCATCCTAGAATGTTCTACCGTCACAGAATTTTCCTTTTTATCTCTAGCACTTGAGCAAATCCTTGCTTGCTCTCTCAGATGAAGTATATTGCAATTTTGCTCATAATTCTCTTCCTTTGAGCTCTTTTTTCTGATGTCTTTTAAGTTTTTGTTTCTTGACACAACTGTTGCCCTATTACCTACTCTGCTGTCACGATGCTCTGTTGCAGCGTTACTTGCATCATTTTGAGAGTCCAATGTAACTCTATCATGTTCTGAAGTCGCACTAACTTCCGGGCTAGCAGAAACATCTGGCTTTTTCCCCAGATGTGCAAAGAAGTTCCTTGAAGCACTTTTCAGTGGTTTCATTTTTGACAAGAGATTGAAAGAAGTTGGACTGATCTTTTTGGTGAGCTCTGCCTTAGACTCCTCTCTCTTTCTAATCCTTGGATCTTGTGATGGAGCTCTTTTGACACGTTGAGGTGTAAGATGGTCATCATCGCTTTTACCAGAACCATTTGTGATGGAATCTACCTGGGATGCGTTTTCATCTACCTTCTCTTTTGGAGCTGAAAAGAGTGACCAGAGGCTTCTCTGATCTGGACTTTTCTTCTCACTGCTGGCGCCATTTTCGACATTCCCCGATCCGCTGCTCATGTCACTGTTCAATGCTGCAGCTTCTGGAATGCTCTCCTTGTCATTCGCGACGACCATTGGAGTTAGAAGCTCGTCCCTGGTGCCTTGACGCACTCTTGCGCTCAGGGACCATCCGGGGCTCTTCCATGTTGTTGGTGATGACTTCACTGGGACACGGTTGGCATTGGACTTCAGTTTTAAGGCTTGTCTCATTCTCAGCTGCTCCTGGTGGGCTGCATTCGGCCTCCCACTGTAGGTTGACTTCCTCGCATTGCTCTTGATCTTTATTGATTCCATGATGTTTTCCGATGTTTGATGTTCTCCAAGAGACCATGCTGCACAGAGGACTGCATAAAAATAAAATAAATAAAGCATTTACACAAAGGGATGATTATGTGTAATGTATAATATACAACATACATTTATGACTCTTATCCGCGTATTTCATCCATGAATAAAAAAATCTCTTGATGTGATTACAGGGGTGAAAGTGACCACTGAAGAAAAAAAAGTCCCCCCCCCCCTTGAGTAAAAATAAAAATAAAAAGGATTCAGGGGGAAAAGAATGGCATCTAACAACATTTCCCCCTTTTGAGTAAGAAAATTGGGGAAAAATACAGAAAAAGTCTGGAAAAATAAGGGAAATAAAGAAAAGAAAAAAAAAATCAAAAATATAATAATCAGGCAACCAATTTAAATCAGGTAATTATCAGGCCTGCTACATGTGTGATTAATGGTAGCGATACCAAAGAGCACCATTATTCCAAGGTCATTACATGGAATTCTTCTATTTTTTGGATGGAATATTTGGGGAAAAAGTACATGTCGTATGGGACAGATTGCACAATATACATGTAGCTCCCAAACTTGGAAGTATAATACTAAATAAGAAACAAAGCTAAAAAAACAGATATACTTCAAAACAGAGAAAGAAAGAGAGAGAGAACATTATCATACTATAATTTTAAATAAGCTCAAACAAACCTAATTAGGATCAGTTCTAAGCAAGATATTAACTTTAACCATGTTTATCAACATCTTTAGATTGGAAACACAATCTGCCATCATGATCATATCATATTCTGAATATTTTAAACTGATAGCACTTTAAAGTTACATCCAATGCACAAACAAAACATTTACATGCACAATGTATTTACTTTTTACCAAAATCTAAGCTTATATTTACTATATAACACAGCATGAGTGCTGATTTTACATGTACATGAACATTTCAAATGTAATGGTGACCTCATTTGGCATTTGCCCTCAGACAAAAAATAAGAAGATCAGTTTCTAAATGACACATTTTTAGTAACTACATGTACTATTCCTGTTATGAATACACAGAGACCATTTTAAATACACAAGGAGGTCCACACAGGGTTTAAACATGTAAAAGCAACAGGTTGGAATTTTTATTATACAGGATTGAGAATCAGCTCTATGTTTGAATTTTGATAGTAAAGGTCTCAAAATTAACTCAATGTTTCAATTTCAAATGTACAGGTTCATAACTTCATTCTCACCCTAAATTATTTATGAAGTATTAACACGTGTTTGAAAGTGCTTTCAAATATGGTTTAGATTGCATCAGAGTGCATCTTAGAACCTTAGAGCCTTTAATCTGGCCTCAAGGAACCTTTATAGTTTATATTCCTTTCACATTCCAATTTTAAATGTTTAAATTTTTGCTTGGGGACCATCCTAGAAACATGTATCTCGTTCACAAACTAAGGACTATACTATTAAAAGACAAATAAATAAAAAGGCAATCTATAGAGTTATGACAGAAGGAAAATTCTCACAGAATCAAGATTATATATAAATGATATCTGCTGCTAAACGTTGAAACATACAACAGGTTTAATGAGTAATGAAAGATAAGAAAACCAATACAAACAGAGTATCCTGACACATGTATGATTATGTACAAATTGAGAGTTGGGCTTTTTAACAAATTGTAATTTCCAGCAAAAATTCTTATTTTGCTGCTCTTCACCAACCCCTCTACTGCAAGATAAACAATACAGAATCAGCTTGAGTTTAAATTCATTCTGATACCCCCCCCCCCCCCCAAAAAAAAAATAAAAAATAAAAAAAATAAAATAAAATAAATAAAAATAAAAATAAATAATAAATGTCCTTTAAAGATTAAATGTCAAAGGTGAATATGATACTTACCACACAGAAATATGTCTATTTATCTATTCCATTCATTTATGTCACTTCACATCCACAGACGTAATGTTATCTGCAGAGAAAAAGAGAGAAAGAAAGCGAGAGAATGGATTAAAAAATCATCACCATTTTGCAAAACTTTGTTAACCAATATTACAAGATCACACACTTCTTTTCATTTTTTTTCAAAATGAAACTCGAATCCTTTTTTTAAAAATGAAACTCGAATCCTTTTTAAAAAAATGAAACTCGAATCCTTTTTTAAAAATAAAACTTGAATCCTTTTTGATCTACAATCACATGTACCTTACCTATTGGGGGATTCTGTGCAATGTACTGTATGACGTTTCTTTTTTTACGTGTCTTTTTTTACTGCAGGGCAAATGATTTAGAACTGATTTGTGCCATTTACTTTCAAGACTTAAAGAGAAGGTTGAGTTCTGGGAAGAGGTGAAAAATAATTTGTGAGCATTACTCATTCTATTATGCAAGTGTGGAAGAACATTAGTTAAGACATGTTCCCTGAAAAGCATGGCTCTTCAAATGCCTTCATATTCTAAATATGCATGTAACATCGTAAAAATCGGGGGGCCGGCTTTTTACGCCACGTGTTCATGTAGTCCCATATACATCTTTCTGTACAAGTGTTTGTAACTTTACCAAGACTTGGCCACATTTCTTATCATTTTGATGATTCCAGAACCTTGCAATACACACAAATTCTTATATGCTAGATGATCAACCTTTTCTGGTCGGTTCCACACCGTTTCTTTCACAATGCAATCGCACGACCATGCAGAACTCAACTTCATCTTTAATGTCATTAATTACTAAAACACAAATTACACTGTTGCATCAATGCATGCATTATCTTACCATTGTGATTATGAGAGGCAGTGAGAGTACAAGTCGGACTATATCAAAAATTAAATTTTTCCTCACTTTAAAATTGCAGCAAAAAAAATCCCCTAATATCTGCGTAACAAATTAGCAACAACTGTTTATATACACATGTATAGGTACACATTCATCTTATCAACAAATATGTGCAGATATGTTTCAAATCAAAAACAAACATTGACTGCTCTATTATAGGCTGAACTATGCCCCATATACACATGAATAAAACCATAAGCCTCGACTTCCTGAAGTATAATATATACACATACAAGAGAGATCGATCATCAGAGATAAGATTATTAAAATAGCTTTCCAATGAATGAACCAGATGGTAATCAATATTTCTAATTGTACTGCGCACGTACATGTATAGATCTATACAAGTCATCTGACCATAAAAAACTGAGGCATATACAGTACACCGTAGTTTTGACTAAACGTAAACAAGTCAGATCCAGGAAATCAGAAAGATATAGGAATGAAACTTGATTAACAAGTTCCTACTTCGTTTTGGACTTTAATCAAACTAAAACATTTGTACACTGAAACCAAATTTTCTGTGAAAGTTGAGCACATTATTTTTCACTCAAATCAACACAAGATACATGTACTATGATATGCCCTAGGGCATTGTGCAAGTACATGAATTCATATTGAGGGTCATTACTCATAAGGACCTCTATTCATAATACGAAATCGGGGTCGCTAATCATGAACATGAAGAAGGGGCGCTATTCATAATGTATATCAGGGTCACTATGAGGACCACTATTCATAACACGAAATGAGGATCGATATTCATAATATGAGAAGAGGGTGAATAGCGACCCTTTTCTCATATTTAAATGAATAGGGAACCCTATGAATAACAACCCCGATTTTGTATCTACACTGTATGAATAGCGGTCCTCATGAATAACGACACTTTTCTAAAATTATGACAAGGAAAACGACATGTGCAAATTGAGGTAATCTGACATATCCTAGCTTTGGCGAAAATTGCTCTGGGCTTTACTTCATCAAAACTGTGAGGCTACATGTACAAATGTACATGTAAGGAATGAGATCTAGTTTGCAGTTTGGGTTATTAGGGAATGGATGTTGCTGGATCAATTTGAGGCTACATTTATTGATTTTCTGCAGTTGATTACAATATGACCTACATGTAGAAGTGAGTGCAGCTGAAGCATTGTATAACAGTGCTGTGCCCTTCCAGTATGACCCAAAATACTAAACCGCAGATAACCAACTAAACAAAACAAAAACAAAGAAATAAAGCACTAAAGTACATATTCCTTAATAATTTAAGTGCCTTGTCAGTATAACTCATCAGTAATGACTGTCACAGAGTGACACATCACTTAGAAATTCAATCATGAGCAGTCACATTCTAACGGATATAATCAAATTAGAAGATTTGAATGTGCTCGTTATTTAATTTCCTTTCATAAACTGGTCTAATGTGTAATAGACCATTTTTGTAATGTAATCAGATTTAAAGCATTTAAAAACTTTGCTAAGTGCCATATTCCCAATTCTTTCATTCACCTGTTACAATAATTATATATCAATAGTCAGAATGCAAATTGCATACATTACATTAAATTATATCTACATGTATACATGTAGGTAGAACAAGACATAATGTTTGTCAAACTACCTAGCAACAATTAATGTATGCAATAAGCCAGTTCACGGTTGTAGTCTGAGCATGAGCAGATAAAGGTCATTGCAGAACAAATTTTGAAATACACGGAGACGAAATGCTGGAAACGTTCTCATGAAAGTTATGTAATCATTATGCATTCATGCACATTCAGTGCACTCCATGATACACAAGTGGAAGTATTCTTTGAAAAGGGGAAACAAAGGCAATTTATATAGCACTTTCATCGCTGTAGGAGTGATTATTTTAAAAATGTACAAAGTAGGACCTCTTCATGTTTGGAAGATCTCTGGATATTCGGGGTCATTGCAGTAATGTGTTAACCGTGAACTGGTCTATTCTGACTACTGAAATGCAATTGTTCATAACAGGTGAATGAAATAATTGTTTAAAACAAGGCACTTAATTAACAAGGATTTGTGCATTATTTGATAACATTACGAAAATGGTCTATACATGCCAATGCAATTCTTATTTTGCTAAATTGTCACTAAGTTTTTTTTCCAAAATGATATAGTAAGTCTACCCTGGTATGCCTTTTCAGATTAACTGTAGGCCTACATGTACAAGTGCAAATACAGGCAAACAAATTCAACAATACCGGTCATTAACAAAATTAATCAGTTAAAAGTTTAAAACCATATTTCTTTTTTGGTAAACCAAAATTAGAATATCAGCTGACCTGCAGTATGACCAAAATAGGAAGTGGATTGCTGCCAATTTGAATCTTGTTCGTATCACTATTAAATCCCATTTAGCTGTGCACACTACCAGCCCTTACACTGTATGTATACATGTACATCACACAATGCTAAATTTGCTTGTGTACATGTGTACAGGGTAAAATAAATTTTCCCTAAATTATATGTTAGTTGACTGTACATTTAAAACCTCCTCCTGTGCCAAGAAAATGCAAAAGTGATATTTAAAAAAATCCCTACAGATTAAGGCCTATACATGTACGTGTACAGAAAACTACATGACTTGTATAATATAGGCCCAGTATACATGTACATGTACATACAATGTACTATACATGTACACATACTTTTTTTTTTACAGTAGAGTCTACTGAACATATACACGTAGTACCATGTCCATCAAAACAGGATGCAATACAATGAGGCCTGCATGTCCTGTGTTGCTTGGATCATTGATTGGCTGCTCTTACCCTTTCATTCACATTTGTATCAAATATATTAGTTGCAGATAAATGTGATTATAGTACTATAGTCATGGCTTTACATTGAAAGAAATCATATGTGCGAGCAATAGGGAAAAGTTGAAAATCACATGCAGTACTCAGAAATGGGTAACGGTACATGCCTACATGGGACCTTGAACGCAGAGCTACCAAGTATCACGCATTATGCATGACATCACGCATTTCGTGGGTCTGAAAATGCTCTTACGCACGACACGCGCTAGATTTTGAAAAAACGCTATACCTTATACGTGTGTTATGCGCTCGTGTGCCGAATCATGAAAATGTCACGCAATGCCGATCTTTGAACTTGGCGTCTCTGTGAACGTGGCATGACAGTTGGGGTACTATGAATACTTTGAATACAGGGCTATAGATCTGAAGGCCAATCCATTTAGGTGGACATTTCTACTGCATAAATTCAAAATGGAAATACAAAGAATGAGAAAAATGCACTCACAAAATATTTTTCATAATACACTGTACCCCAGAACACAACCTTTGTTTATGCTAGTGTCAAGCCATGAGGCATGGCATGTGCCCTCTTTCATTGCCATATCCTATCTCCCAATACTGTATGTACATGTATCTGAAAAACCGGGGTAACCTCGCTATCATAAGGACCGCTATTCTTAAAACGATAGGGGGTTACTAATCACTATTCATAAAGGCAAGGACCGTTCTTCATAAGGACCGCAATGGCGCAATTCATAATGTGAGTTAAGGGTCGATTGATCGCTATTCATAATTCACATTGAGGATCATTACTCACAAGGACCGCTAGAGAGATGCACATCCGACAAATAAATGTAGACCTCTACATGCAGACAAACAGGCTGGCCAGGCTAGACTATTAATTTTACATCTAAATTAGGCCTACATGTTCCCATTGATTTGAGTCAGTTCCTTTTCATTTTGACGATTTGAAATTCACAGTATACTATGTATAAAACAAAACTGAAAACCCTTGGATGAAAGACATAGAACAAAGTCTAATCCTAGCCCAAACTAAGTCAGCTACATGTACATGTACAGTACATTTCATAAAAAGTGTAAAAAAAAGTAAAGAGATAAAACAAAAGTAAACAGATAAAACAAGTGTAAAAGCAGCATTCGGGGCACAGGCATGTTGTTTTTGTCTACCCCTTAAGGCCTTCCAGAGACAAAATTCAGAGACATTTCCATGTCACTAAGTAATATCCTTGACATTGATCTACATTTGCCACACTCAACCCAGGTGATGGAAATGGGTACCTGGCAGGAATTAATTCCTTGAAATGCTAGAGCGCCGTAATGGCCGCCTTGCTAAAGCCAGGGTAATAATCGGGCAACGCCAGGAGCGTCACGATGTGGCGGACATGTGCGCTATACAGCCGCGTACGCAGGAGAGGGGGGTTGAACCCCTCTCTCTTTGGTATTTTTTATGTGTGTATTTTGGAGGAAAACCCCCCCCCCCTTTGGTAATTTTTTTTTTTTTAATAAAAAAAAAAAAAAAAAAAAAATGATACCAATGGCTGACGAAGTAAATGTCAAATTTTCAAATTTCGAGACCCCAAAAAAAGTGTCCTCTTACCCCCCCCCCCTGCTTATTCAGCGGCTGGCTGAGTCGTTGCGATTTTTTTGGCCCGATTTGAAAATGTTAAACCCCCCCCCCTTGAAAAAATCCTGCGTACGCGCCTGGCGCTATATAAGAAGCCATTATTATCATTATTATTTCATGACTGAACTACAAGTCTCTTTATTAAATTAAAACATGCGAACTCACAATATATTAAAAAGTAACGATCACCTAAAATTAAAAACACAATTTGTGTACAGCAGTAAGTAATATTTGAAGCTCATATTTCAATGTAGTATTACAAAATGAAACTACTAACATAAACATGCAGAGCAAATATTGGTACACTTTACAAATAAAGTCGTCTACATGTATGTACATGTCCATATACATGATAACAATTATTTGATTTTTTTTTTTTAATGCCTACATTTTTAAGCCGAAAGGCACGGTGATATCACTCCATGTAGACATGATAGTTAATATTTTATGAAAAAATGGTAATTTTCAAGGATGTTCACGAAATTCATGCACATTTCAGTGTTCGCATGTCTCTATTATTCAAACTTCAAAGAGCAAGAAATTTAATGAAAAAGAGTCAAAATTTCAAAGGGAAACCTTCAACTAAAATAGGCAATTAAAGTCTGTGAAAATCGGTATTATTCATCAATTTTTATATGAGCCAATATTCAGAGCCCATTTCGTACCCGTTTTTAGACAAGAAGAGGTTACAATGTTGAAAATATTATTTAAAGTCAGCAGATAGGGGGTCACTTTGACTCCACTACCAATCATGTTTTATGCTGGTACAGCAGGCGCGTACACAGGGGGGGGGGGGGGGGGGGGGTGTTTGGGGGTTAAACCCCCCCCTTTGGTATTTTTATGTGTGTAAACCCCCCCCCCCCCCTTTGGATTTGATTTTTGTTTTTTAATTATTAAAAATTAAAATTTTCACCTCTTCCCAGAACTCAACCTTCTCTTTATTTGTACCGATATTCGCTCATCAGGAAGAATTTTTCACTAATCAATCATCACAATTAGGAGGAATCTAGCAGAAAGTTTACCATATAGTGAAAAACACAGTACATGCAGAAATTGCTAGATTGGACACATGTTCGTGATACTATAGTGAAAGTTTGTTCCTTGGAAATTTGCCTAGATACTTGAATAACTTTCAGTCAAATACTGAATATGTACATGTCCCGGCCCCCCCACTCAGTGTTATTTAGGGTACGCATATATGCTTTTTGAAAGCACCCCCTATCTGGCGACTGCCAACATTTCTGAACCTCCCTTTCGCTGGCTTTTCATGGGCTTTTCCTGCCTTGGAGACCCCCCTAAATCAGGAAAAATGCTCAATGTACCCCCCTAAATTCTGAATAATTTCTCAGGAGTCCAAAGAGAAAAACACCCCCTTTTTAAAGAAATCTCCGGGTGAAAAGTCAAATACACCCCTTTTTTGACAATTCTCGGGCCGGACTTTGTCACACGAAAAGTACCCCTTTACCGGACATTTTGGCAACACGCATACGGTCTTTCCGACCTCTGAGTGGGGGGGCCGGGGTACATGTAGATCTGCATGTATATAAGACTGTTCATATTAATTCTTTTTACTTTTAGGAGACATTTTTATAAAGGGTATTTTCCACACTCACCTTCATTAATAGAATTAGAAAGATAATACATGTACATGTAAAGGTTTATATTTCTCACATAAATTTGAACTCCACTTTCTCCTTAATCTGTGCATGCAGCTGTTTAGCTTAATATTACACTATCATAATAATATTTGTGTACACCTCAAAGAGCTCAAGCAGAGCTACGTGTCAAATTATGCGTGACAGTATCGCATCGAGGGTGTCACACATAGCAACCATTTTTGTCACGCATCAGGGCCAGACTGGGGAAAAAAAGAAAGAAAAAAGGTAGCAATTGCTAGACTAGTACGTACTAGCTGACTGCCTCGAGGCCTCTGCTAGCTCCTCGCAGGGTGCGTGTACGTATATCGCATGCATGCTGAATGCGCACGATTTTGAAACGTACACTATACTCTCTCGCGCGCAGAGTCATGAAAATGTCACGCACAGCTGATCTTTGAACTTGGCATCTCTGTACATGTAGTCACTATGAACATGACAAAGAAAGCGGATAAAATATACAGTTCCTCAGGTAGACAAAGGAACATCCCTTCACTGCTATTATTATGTAGAAAGGTGAATATGCATGTGACACCTGTTCTACACATTTTTACATAATAGCAGTGAAGGGACGTTTCTTTGTCTACCTGGGGAACTGTATATTTTGTCCGCTTTCATTGTCAGTCATATTCATAGTGACTACAGTCATACCAATTTTGGAAGACTGTAGAGTACCGGTAGGCCTATTTGGTTCGTAATCCTCCTAAATATTCCAAAATGAGGTTTTAACTTGAGGTGGTGGAGGAGTGCTGGACAAGTACTATTACTAGCACATGTAATAGTTAGAATTGGAAAGTTCTGTATGACAGCAGATTCGAAAGAGGACTGGTTTGGTGGATGTGAGACTGTTGAACCTTGAAGACTGTTCCATTTTTGGTGGTCCTTGAAAATAATGAGTGTGTGTATGGTAAATGTCTGAATTAGCATACATGTATATGAAGTTTAAGACTGGTACGACTTTAAGTGACCACGCCTTCATCAGGACAGGTTTTCGGTTATAATGAATTTGAAATCAATGCGAAGTTGCATGACCATTAATTATTTTTAGAGGTTAGATAGTGAGCTTCTCCACGGTCTTTCGAGCCCCATAAATGAAGTTGACCGAGAAGTTTGGTTAAACGTACTGCATGCTAAGGGCGTCAATGGGGGGGGGGGGGGGGGGGGGGGGGGGACATCATATCAAATGCCCCCCCCCCCCCATGTTTTGTCATGAATGAAGAGGGACCACCAGGGAGCAACAATTTTGTATACAAAATCTCACGAATTGGCCCCCAAAAATTAGTGCCTCTTATTCACTGGCGAGCTGATTTACCTCTAAATATTTCCTAACGAATATGGGGAAAAAAAAGAAGTTGTGTCCCTCCGATGCTCAAGCTCGGATTGAAGCTGTTGCTGCATGGTATCCCACCCATAGGTGTTGGTAACAAAACGTGCAGCCCCGAGTTGAACTTTTTCAATAAATGAAATGAAATATTCTTGTTTGTGTAGGCTATATAGGGTATAGATCTAGATCTAGGCCTAGTTGAAATTTAAATGAAAACAAGAAATTGTCTAAGGAGCCCGAAAAGACAGGTGAATACAGGTGAAAACATGGACAAGTTCATGGGTTTTCCTTATAATAGAAATAAAAATTGCAAGGGGCAGGAAGAGGGCATGATGACCAGCTGTGAGTGTGATTCTCACAAGTTAGATCTATCAATCATCTAGATCTAGAATTATATTCTAATGTCGTTGAATGAATGTCATGACTCCTGTACATGTATGTAGTTCATACACAATTTTCAACTCCGACGAGGTTTGCAAGCCAAGTCTATCGCCTTTAATAGATAGGGTCTCCACGGTACATTAATAGAGTTACAGGCATATATATACTTGAGTTCAAATGAGGTTTCGTCCACGTCTGGTGTTCCCAAAGCGAGGTCTAACGATGCCGTTCGAAATAACACTGTGCCTGGCATGGCCGTACCATATGGGCGCATTGAACGAACAAATTCACACACAGTCCTACGTACCCATCACGTAGCCATGCGCCACGTGCTCTAACGCACGTAGCTAGCTAGCACAGTAGGGCCTGCACATTGAAATTTGTCATTTCAAAAGATCGTTCGTTTGATGGGTTTATTTATGGGGATAGACTTAAAATCAACACACGTGAGAAAATAAATGAATGGGCATACCCTAAGATGTAAAAACTGCGACAAATCAAAGCTACGCTCGCCTCAGTTTTTCGTGTTCCTCGACGCGATCGACCAAATATAAACTTTTCTCGGCTCACATCCCGTCGCCATACTGCGACATATCGTGTGGCATTATGGGTAAAAGCCTACATTTGGCGCCAAAATGTAGACGATTTAATTGCCACGTGGTAGATTGACGGTTATTCCCGATATTTTTGAACCGTGGAGCCCATATGCATTGGAACAGACGCGGATGGTTGCATTTGTCAAAGTCAGCATGAAAATTATCAGTCCGTCGTACGGATATCAGCAGGCCCAATTATAATTGATTAAGTGCCTATTTCTATACTCTGCATTTATTTCATATACAGTTATCTAGGCCGAAATTTTTATTCAAATTTTCTTAGCCAATTCGACATAGGCCTACTATACTAGTCCCTACTAGTGCTTGATTCTGCATGTGCACCACACCCGTTCGGCGTATAGGTATAGACGCTGATCGACCTACCTGTCGACCTACTGTCTTGATAGGCACAGTTCTCCCGGACAGTTCTAATTCTGCGGACAGTTTTGCGGATCCAAGAATGGGTGAAAATCAAGACTATTACTTTTGGGCTCTATAGCCCTAAAGTCGATTTGACAACTAATAGTCGTTATTTCCCCACTTGAAGACATTTTCAAGCCCCACCTTCTGTTTTAGGGAAGTTCTAAATTAGTATTATCTTTCAAACTGCTGTTGGAATTTAACTTTTTCATTTTTTTGGTCTGCAAATGGGACATCACCCCGGCCCCCCCCCCCCACTCAGTGTTATTTAGGGTACGCATATGCTCGTTCCCTCTTTTTGAAAGCACCCCCTATCTGAGGACTGCCAACATTTCCGAACCCCCCTTTCGCGGGCTTTTCGCGGGCTTTTCCTGCCTTGGAGACCCCCCTAAATCAGGAAAAATGCTCAATGTACCCCCCTAAATTCGGAATAATTTCTCAGGAGTCCAAAGAGATGAGAGAAAAAAAGAAAAAAAACACCCCCTTTTTAAAGAAATCTCCGGGTGAAAAGTCAAATACACCCCTTTTTTTACAATTCTCGGGCCGGACTTTGTCGCACGAAAAGTACCCCTTTACCGGACATTTTGGCAACACGCATGCGGTCATTTCGAAACCTGAGTGGGGGGGGGGGGGGGGGGGGCCGGGGACATCACATATAGTACCTTTAAAGGCCAAGTCCTCTCTAAAAATAACTTACTTACAATAGGCACTGAGAAAAATCAGACAAACCAATCAAAGAAAATTTAGCCTATTATAACTAATGAGAAACACGGAAATCGGACAAGACAAATTGGCTACTCACTCATGAGTCTGCGACGTCATTGCTTCACTATCCACTTTATATTGATAATATACATTTCGAATTCCTCTCAAAGCATTTCAGTCACACCAGCATCCAAATTATAGTATAGGCCTAATGTGTTTTTGTGTGTATGCACTAAATAGAGTAGCCTAATTTGTTCACTTAAATCATGAAATTTTGATAAACTATTTATACGAAATCCATGATTATACAATATTAAGAAAATAGTATAAATTCTTCAAAGTTCATAAAAGATTTTGTGAAATGTCATATACGCAATGTGATACAACTATCATAAACCTGAGCAAAGGCATGGGGAAATCAAGTTTTGGAGGATACTATAAGGGAAATTAATGGGTATTAAAACTTGGTTTGAGTTCGTTGGTATTAATATATAAAGCAATTGATAAATAGTGAGGCTATGACGTCACAAACTGATAACCAAATTGACAATTTGTGTAGTGATTTCCATTAATCCATACTTGTTCATACTTTTTCAAAAGTTCATAACTTCCTAAAAAAAAAAATTCTCGTTTATTTCCATTTCCAAAAAAAAAAAAAAAAATACTTGCAAAGTGTACATAGTAAAACAATGAAACTTAACAACATATTCGTAATTTCCAGTGTAGAACAGGCATATAAAACAGGTTGGTCATGGAGGGGACTGCTGAAAAGCTGGCTTACGGTAGTGCAGCCCCCTAATTAGTTATCCGAGTTTATCATAGTCAAACTTGTTTTGACTCTTTTGATTTTTCTGGGTTAATTGTAATCCTATATTTCCCGTCCCGGTTTTCCGTACGCGCATATTATATAAACAAGTATGACATGTATTTTATTTTCAAATCAAGGAGAGTGTTAATTACTCTCTCCCTGGTCATATCTTACCTAGTTTGATATATCTTTACGTATTGTATTGTTACTCTGTTGTGCTATACCCCTGAAGGGGTCGATATAGAGTCAAATAAAATCTATTAAATCTACTGAAATCTAAATATTTTCAGTTTACCTTCCTTCTTTTTTCTGCTGAAAACTTAAACACTGAAATATATAATGGAAGCCTTACTATATACACTGTCTAGTCAATTTTAAATAACATAACATGAATTACCAAAGTTTTATTTGGCAGAATAAACAAATTATTATATAGAGCCAGGCACGTAGCCACGGGAGGGGGGGGCACGTGCCCCCCTAAAATTTCCAAGATCGGTTGAACTTTTTTAGACCCCCCTTTTTTTTTTTACATCGATCGATTACATGTAGGTGCCCCCCCCCCCCCCCCCCCCCCCCAAACATCGAACTCTGGCTACGTGCCTGTACAGAGCTATAGACTATCCACTTTATAATGGTGTGGGTACGGGGCCGGGGGCGACTTGTACCTGCTTGTACCGTACCGGTACGTACCAGTGCAGTATGAAGGGGTGACCAAAGTTCGCGCAGATTTTAGAACAAATTAGAAAATGTGATATTCGATCCATGTTTTCTCATATTCTACACAAATTTATTTATTTTAATTACTACCAAATGGACGGCAAAGTATTTTACTACCAATTGGTTCAACTACAACATTTATCGTCGAAGGATTTCGGAGATATCGCGATCTAAAAATTCGATGTCCGATCGTGCATGCGCGCTGCATCTAAAAAAGTCATAAAAACAACGAGACCTAAGTTCACGCACGGGGGTTTACAGCTGATTTATACAAAAATACGATCCATCAAAAATAAGGTAATTTCATAATTTGCAAGGCAAAATATCATACAACCAGACGGTACCACTTATTACTTACAATTTTGAGGATATCTGCTCTCAAAATGAAGATTTCCAGACCCTTATCGGTAAGTTGGTAATTTTTCGGAACGGACGCAAATAACTGCAAAATGTGCCGATCTTTTGTCAATATTTTCACAATTTCGCACCCAATTCCAAAGAAAATTTCGTTTCTGGGTAATTTTATGATCCTCTTTCCATTGGTGATATCAGATTTTCGAAATCTTACCGATTTATTGAGAAAGCGAACTTTGGTCACGCGCGAACTTTGGTCACACAGCCATATAGACATGCAGTTAGTTAGTGCAGTGGTTGTTCGTGTAAGTTTGCGGAATAAAACTTTGGTAATTCATGTTCGACGTGACGTTATTTAGAATTTGACCACAAACATGCAGCAGCATACGAAATTGACAGTAGTCATATTTATGACTTTGGTTGTGCCTTGTATTTTAGGCTATAACCAAGAGAAGGAAAACTTCATCGCTCTTATGAAACTTCTAAACACACCACAAAAACCGGAGCGATATTTTTCACCTGTGGACGTAAAGGTATGTACAAGCTTAGCGAGATGAGACCGACGGTGCCGCCGCCGCATCAGGCGCTTGCGCTAGTGAGTAACTGGCCCGGTTGCGGGCGGGAGCTAGCTAGCTGTTCGAGCTTGACTAGACTCGAGAGTGGAGTTACAGCAGCAAGGCGTTCTTTAGTTTTAGTACTACTAGGTCTACTAGCATGTTTTCATTTACCTTCCTTCAATGTTCTCATGTTATTAAGCCTCGTTTCCAAATTATGGCAATGTGTACCCAGATGTTGTGTGTTCCGACTTCCGATAGGTTTTGTAGATCTATTCGGACATTTAATTTAATTAATTTAATGGCAATGACATGTGATTGTGAAGAAGTTTCCAAACAATTATATTTGACAATATTTCATAAAATCTTTGAATCAAAGACTTGTGTTTAGCTGGCCAATGTTATAAACGTCAAATATCGTGATGCTTTTATATAGGGTCTATTTGATGAATGGGTTTGGGGTAAAATCTAAGGGAAAAAAGAGAAGACTTAGTTATATCATGTTTGTCAAATGTTCAGAGTTCAGTAAGCACTAAGCTTTAAGATAAACTTGAGTTCTGGTAATGCGATCATGCGATTGCATTGTGAAAGAAAAGGTGTGGAATGGATCAGAAAAGTTGATCATATAGCATGTAACTAGTAATGGTGTGTAATGCAAGGTTCTGGAGTCATCAAAATCATCATAAATTTGGCAGAGTCTTGGTAAAGTAACAATCACTTGCACAGAAAGATGTGGGACAACACATATGGTGTCGGGGCTAGTAGTAGTACTACCCTGATTTCCTTATCTTTCTATGCTCATTACTCAGCCAGTATACATTTTCTTCCAAAATTGTTTAGCACATGACATTTATTTGTAATCTTGGACATTCAGTGTAAGTTTCGTTAGATTCTGTGAGAATTCATTTTCTTTTTTTTACCAGAACTCAAGTTCATCTTTAATTATTAGTTTATTACCCCAATCGGCATTCCAGACTGTACCATCTGAAATTAATTTTTAAAGGTGTGTATTAGTCTAAAGATAAAGACCAGTTATGGTCATGCGATTGCATTGTGAAAGAAACATTGTGGAATCGATTAGAAAAGGTTGATCATCTAGCATATTGGTGTGTACTGCAAGGTTCTGGAATCCTCAAAATGATAAGAAATTTGGCCCAGTCTTGGTAACGCTACAAGCACTGTACACAGAAAGATGTAAATGGGACTACGCGACACGTGCGTTATATCTATCAGGTCCAAATAGATATAATATTTTACCAAATATATCAATTAGTAGGCTGTTTCTTGGCAAAATTTGTATCATTACGTATTACTCAAAACATATATCCTCTCACATGATTGGTAATAAAAGCTTCCATTTCATTATTTGAGAGGGTGGTGTTTCCGAAACTGGTCTTTACCTTTAACTCAAGTATTACTATTAGGCTTTATAGGCCTACTTTGTAATTATATGGTACCAATTTGCTTTGCCCATTGTCATATTTTTACAAACTTTTTACTTGTGTTGTTATCAATGAAAGGATTAATTTACAGGATCACATTGTATTTGATTAATATTATAACTGTGTCACTGATTACATGTAGCTGGAGCTGGGGACTGACTTTTTCAAAACATCATAAATTGCTTAGGCCTAAAATTGTTAAATATCGACATCACCATCACCAGACATCTGAACACCATGAAAATTGTAACTAAGATTACAAGATGTAATGAAGTTTCAGAGACAGAATAGAAAAAATTGAGAAATTCTAAAAATGGATTTTTATGACGTCACAGCTTCGGTACTCTATAGATTTGTAATACAGGGGGCCGTTTTATGAAACGTCTTTCAACGACATCCCAATGTTGTCAGCCTTTCATCCGACTCTGCTAAGGCTGCGTTTAAGCTCAATTTTGAAGGCAGAATTAGCGATATGAAACGCTCATCGTAAACGCTCATCGTAATCGCAGTTCCACGGTGTACTCTTTATGCTCACTTCTCTGGCTCCTCCAGGCAATTCTTGCTGGGTGGCCCTAATTGGTCTTGCAGCTGGATTCGCAAACCTGCACTGTGCATGCTACGTAGACCCACTAGAGGTCAGTGCGTTGACCCCATTTAAACGCGTTTACAAATTGTAAACGCACCTTTTTGTGAGTTTACGATCGGTGATCGTGATCGCCGTTTTTCGGTTGATTCTACAAAAGTGAGGAAGGACGCAACCCTGTTTTAAACTAAACGCGTAACCGATGCCTGATTCTGGCCAGAAATAGTTGAGCATAAACACGCCCTAAGTGTTTCACAACACCGTCTTTGCCAGGATGTGCAACAATTTCCCCCAAGAAGAGATTTCTCATGACTACAAACCTGTCATGACTATCTTTTTTAAAACACTATGTCAAGTCAACTTTAAGTTTTACCTATTGCTTATGGGCAGTGCAAAATGAAAACTGAAGACTTGTTTCAATTTTTTTTAAACCTTCAAAATTGAAGTTCTCATTTGTGATATAGGTCTACAGTTAAGAGCATTAAACATACAAACTGTTCTTATAACGGTTTGATACTTTAAGTTTGATGCCTTTACAAGTACATAAGATTTTTTTTGTCCGTACTTTACATCGCTCTACCATAGAAAAGTTGCCACAGATGGAACAATTAATTAGTTTCAGACCCATTTTCCATTTTGTAGCAGAACTTGGATACAAATCATATCACATAATTATTTGATGAATACGTATTAAAACTGAGAGTCATTAAATGTCTTGTTTTTATTATTTTCTTAAATATTGACCAATCTGAATCTCATTTCAGTTAGAATTGAGTTGATGTTAACCTCTTACTTGCAAATTTTGATTCGCTAAACGCAAAAACAGCCTTTAGTTTCCTCAATTGATGTTTTTATTATTTGTGCTACCACAAATTAAGCCCCATAATCTCTTTTGGTAAATTATGATAAAATCTGATGGATTGTGAAAAATACTATATTTTTGGGGCCATATAGTGTTGAAATCATTAATTTGTCGCTCTGCGGAACATCATTTGTAAATTATGATATATATTGTACAACACGAATGAGGCCACCATTGTGCATAGCCCAGTATATCTTGGGCCAAATAACAAAAATGAAGTTTTTCTCGTCCCAGCCCGCCTCCTTTTTCTTACTACAGTGTATTTACTATTCAGAAGAAAAAAAGCCTGTGATATACATTTTGTTTAAATAGCAGACTAAAGTGATACAAATCATTTGTTTTGTCATACATTGCATCAGTATATACTCACATAGCACAATATCTGTGAAAAAATAGGCATGTCCAGCTATAATTAGCATGGCAGCCATCTTGGAAAAAATATGCAAAAAAGTAAATAGTAATGCCCTGCCTCCTCCTTCTTTTTTAAAAGTCCTGAGGAGAAACACATTATTTTTGTTATTTGGCCTTACAAGCAAACTTTTAGACCTAAAAACGTATTTACATTTTGCTGATTCCAACGTACAAATGTACATGTAGCTCAAAAATTGCTTTACATTGTGTTTTGTTATCACATATCACTATCAGTTATATAATGTTTACGTTTTGCCTACAATCCAAAGTTTCCAATGACCCCAAGGTGTTTTGCAGTGTGTGTGTGTGTGTGTGTGTGTGTTCACCAAGTTCTCTGTGATTTTGTTTACATTTTGCGAATTGCAACCACCCAAACGGTGCTTTGGATTGACTATTGGATTGTAATCGTTTCCTCTTATCAGCAAGTTTTCCTAATGGTGTTTACATTCAACTAGTTTAATCACCCCCCCCCAAAAAAAAATCTCATTTTCTATTTATGATCATCTCTGTTGAATAAGTTTAGAGTCATTTTTGTTTTGAACTGTGTTCAAACTTCACGATAATGCAAAGTGGTTGTAGATTAGGTGTAATTGAAGCTAGTAATCAGACAATATTTTGAATACTGAATGAAGCTTGTTTGTTTGGAATCCAACATTGGTAGCAAGTTAATCTGTAGACTGAAGATTGAAAAATACATGAAACAAAAACATAAACAAAAACAAACAAAAACAAAGGAGATATATAAATAGAGTGAGATTGGTCAAAGTTTGAAAAAATAGTATCCTGGCATTACATGTATGATGGTTCTCCTTTCTTCCTTTTTGTCTAAATTCCTACTTGCCACAGTTTCCTGTGTCTGAGCAACCCACCGTGACAGAGTTCAACTGGAAGTCGTGTGGTCCTTCCGATCCGATCTCAGCCGATGTGGTCATCCTGCCAGATCCTCTCGTTATCCCAGGCAACATCTCGGTCGAAGCCAATGCAACGCTCAAGGTGGATGTGGTCGCCCCTGTCAAGGTGTCCCTCACTATCAAGAAGAAGGTAATATTTAGGGCAGGTAGCCGGGTGGGGGAGGGGGTGGCCATGAGTGGGATTTTACCTCTGGGGTTTGCAATTCTTTGTTGATTAGACCAACAACAAAAAATCATTTGGTTGTCCTCGATTGCTTTTCTGGAGTAGGGGCGGGTGGGCGGGCGGATTTTTTTAATTTTTTAACTTAAAAAAAAAAAAAAAATCTACTTGTTTTTCCCCATTTTTTTTGTTTTTTTGTTTTTGTTTTGTAATTTAAAAAATTCCATTAAAAAAAAAAAAAATCATTCGGATGTCAAGCATTTAAACAAACAAAGTCTATAAAAAAACTTTAATATGAATATCAAGACCAACACAGAAAGTATTTTTGGCTTTTAAATCTCCATTGTACTACTTATAGCTACTTGCGCCCTCTATATAGCAAACAATGCCTAATCGGTGACCATTGGTCCCCACATGATCCTCTTTATCTTATGTTAGCTGAGAGCTGATTTTATGAGATATCCACCTGTCCAGCAACCTTGCAGGGTGGTCTAATCTCTCCTGTAAACTAGTACAGATGGGCTTTAAAATGAGTTAAGAATGCTCAGAACCTGATTTGAATCAACGGCATTTTGACAGAAAAATAAAAATGGCAAGTTTAATAAATACAGAATTGCGTACTGAAAAGACTACACTGGCAACGGGATGCATTTTGATCCTTGCAAATGCATAAAATGGTATGTTTGGCATTTAAGATTGCTCCCCCCCCAAAAAAAAAAAAATGGGGAAAAAAAATACAAGCGGCCCGAAAATGATGAGCGGGTGGTCTAGGACATCCAAATGATTTTTTTTTTTTGGGGGGGGGGGGGGCCTTAATAGGAATTTTGTTTTTTTCTTCTCTTCACTCTTCTTCTTCATGTCAAGGTTTAGTTTACTATCAAGAAGGAAGTAATGCAGGTTACTGAGGCAAGGGGAGGGGGAGGGGGCCAAAGAGGGGGCCCAATTTCATGAGAAAATGTTTAGCAGCGAAACAGCCAGCTGGTGAATAACCGCCTGGAGGGTGGAGGGGAGGGGGCCAGTCTTCTTCTTCTTCTTTTTTGGCAAATAAAGGTAAAATTAACGTGTTTTTACCTTTTTTTCAGGGGAGGGGGCCCCCCATCCTGGATCCGCCACTAGGGGAAGGGGTGGGGGGGGGGGGGGGAGATATGAGATTTAACTCTAATCCTCCTGGCCAAAATAGTACAGATTTCAACACAATCTCTTTGAACTTTGAACCCGTCAGGTCTTAGTATGGCTACCTATCCCTTGTATCGACGGCGTGGGGTCCTGTGTCTACGACGATGTCTGCGAGATGCTGGATACAATGTTCCCACCCAGTCAACCGTGCCCTGCTCCTCTGGCTACATACAATCTACCATGCCATTGTCCTTTCAAAGCAGTAAGTGTTACTACATGCCTATCTCTTCTTCTTCTTCTTCTTCTTCTTCTTCTTCTTCTTCTTCTTCTTCTTCTTCTTCTTCTTCTTCTTCTTTTCTTTCTTCTTCTTCTTCTTCTTCTTCTTCTTCTTCTTCTTCTTCTTCTTCTTCTTCTTCTTCTTCTTCTTCTTCTTCTTCTTCTTCTTCTTCTTCTTCTTCTTCTTCTTCTTCTTCTTCTTCTTCTTCTTCTTCTTCTTCTTCTTCTTCTTCTTCTTCTTCTTCTTCTTCTTCTTCTTCTTCTTCTTCTTCTTCTTCTTCTTCTTCTTCTTCTTCTTCTTCTTCTTCTTCATCTTCTTCTTCTTCTTCTTCTTTCTCTCTCTCTCTCTCTCTCTTTGTCTTCTCTCTCTATTTTTTTTCTTTCTCTCTCTCTCTTTCTCTCTCTCTCCCCCTCTCACATTATATAATATAAAAATATATTTCCTAGATGATACCATGTCCTATTTGTCACTCTTGTATCTCTTTCGTCTCCCTCTCTTTCCACATCTCCTCATTCTTGCTCTTTCTCTCTATCTCTTTCTCTCTATCTCTCTCCCTCTTTCTCTCCATCCCTCTCTGTCTCTCTCCCCTTCTATCATTCTATTTCCGACGGGTCTCTCTCTCTTTCCTCAAATACTTTATTATCTGCCAATGCCTTTCCCCATAACTTTTATCTTTCTCCTTTTCTATATGTTACTCTTACTCTTGAGATAATTCTTGAAATCTCCTTGTCTTTCTTTTTTATATTTCGTTATCACTCACCTTTTTGATCATCTTAATCTTCCTTCATCTATTTTCATCCATGTGCATTTGTATGTTATCTTGATAAATCTAAGTTTTCTTTTGTATTTTTTTGGTGAATACCTCCTAAATCTCTCCCTATAATACTTACTTCCTGATCTTTTCCCTATCTACAACTATGCCTTGTTCTGTTCTCGTGTACACTGTCTATACCAACGACAATGCTCAAATTTTCAATTACACAATACCCTCTGTGAGTAAATAGTAAGAGAGGTAAGCCCGATTGCAGGCTTCGACCACCCCCCCCCCCCCCCTTTGAAAAGCATGGATCTGCTGCTGAGAAATGTATAGTTTTACCCCTTTCCTCAGGTTAAAGTATAAATTGTTGTTCACAAAATTTAAAGTATAAAGTTCATAATCTGGTATTGGGGGATAAGTCATATCGGGTCTCCCCTCAGCAATTCATCCAAATATCTGTTTAATTTAGCTTATAATTGATAACCATTACCTTTCATGTCTGTACCTTTCCTATTGCACCTTTGTATATATTTATCATGTATTTCATCTTTTGCACAATCTGCGCCTTAAGCATCTGATTGTCAAGTGGATTTTGCACCTTATAAATCTTTACTATTATTATTATTTATACAGTAGGCTTGCGGGGGCACCATTATTATTATTATTATTATTAATAAATAAAAATCCATGTAAGAGGCATTTTGAAGGTTTTAAGGAAATTCCAGAAAATTGGATATTCTTTTTCAAGAAAATCTTTTAAAATGAGTGGAAGCACTGACGGCTCTGTTTTTAAAAACTTTTAACAGTTCTCTTCGGATCAGATAGACCTAAAACAAGCCTCAATATGTAGGAGTAGATTGTCTAAGTCTGAAACAAAATTGAGCAATGTTTGAGTCGTGCCTGGCTTTCCAGCAATCATATTGTACATTGTTCTACTTACGTTGAAGTATACTTAATGAGTGAAACCTGGACCCCACGAGACCTTGCACTTCGCACACATCAGTTCATACTCCTTCCAAATTTTAATTTTGCATGTTTGTGGATTACCCTGCACAACACCTTTAAAAAAATTATTATCGAGTCCTGCTGCCATGTTAGTTGTTAATCATTGCAAACATGTCCAATCTCTTTTGACTCTCTAGGGTACCTACACCTTGCCTAAATCTGACGTTGTAGTTGAGGACACCGGGATCCCCTCCTGGCTGAGCTCTGGCGACTACGAGATCAAGGTCGTCGCCCAGGATAGCAAGGGCAGTGAGCTGGCCTGCTTCTCTGCAACCTTGAGCCTGAAGTAAAGGGATCCTGCTGCCTGTACATCCCCATGCTCTTCCACGATGATGACCAGTCTTCAAGCAATCACTCGATTCCAGCTGCTCAGGCTTTGTATCCATCGGCCCTCCTGGCTCAAAACCACTGTCAAATATTAAAAGCAGAATTAAATTTAACTGTGTGTCGCATGGGACCAGTAGAACATTCATAGCATACTGACTAGCCACTTCATTAATAAATAAACAAATTGCAGTCTGGTCTTTAAATTGTGAACCAGAAATATATCCCATGATACCCTTTGTCTTATGTTAATTGAGAGCTTGATGAGATAACCACCTGTTGGTGACCTTGCAGGGAGGTCTAATCCCTCCTGGCCAAACTAGTGCAGATAGGCTTTAAGAGCATTTCAAGGGCTTTTAAATTCATAACAAATGAATTCACCAGACCCTATGTCAATGTTGAGCCAAGCAAATTAGGTAATCAGTTAATGCTCTTACTATAAGAATGCTTTCTTAGGGCTTTCAGAACAGGGTCATTTGCTATCCTGGTAGATAAAAGAAAGAAAACAATGTAAGAGATGGATTAGGCAAGGAGATTTTATTTTAATCTATTCCTCCAGGTGATTCTGAATTCACCCCCCCCCCCTGTCCTCATCTTATTGATTGTTCTATTCTGAACCAAACTTGTCCCCAATTGTATTGTTAAATAAATTCATGTGGTTTTGATCCAGTTGGGTGTCGTGTGAGTGGTGGTTGCAGATCTCTATTACATCCATCTTTCCCTTTCTACATTTCATCTCATTTCAAGATTTTGTATGGCATTAAAAATGTGATAACCAGGTAGAATTTTAACAAGCAGTCTTTTTATGAGCGAAAGAGCTATTTTATATATTTTTAAAGATATATTTTTATTTACATGTAATTATTCACCTCTATTTTATCTTTTTTAATGATAGTTATATTATTTTCAGGTTTGTGGTATTTATAATATGCAAATATATTAAGGATGATGGTTGATGATATCTATATTTCATGTCATGTATGTAAGGCAACACCCCACACTAACCTCTTTTTTTGTCTATTTATAAGGGTTTAGATTGTAAGTTTTAGGGTCTATGATATGCTCAATCCCCTTTTGGAATGTGAAAATTATGGGGTTCAGTCTTTAGGATTTCAGGACCCATGATTTGATGTTAGCATAAAGAGTGTTTTTAAAATCCATGTGCAATGCTCATTGACAAGGCGTTTTAGTCATAGTTGCCCCTGTACACCGGAGAATGTGATGTACAAATCATACTCATAAGAAGATACTATGAGCAATTGATTTCGCTCTGGGTAATGACCATCCACCGAAAGCAATGGAAATAATTTTGAAGCGCACAATATGTTCCATTGTTTGCCTTATAAAGCTATTGTTGCAGTAAAAATTCAAAATGTTTCATCTTCAAAAGCGTTGTCTTCCTAACAGTGAACCAGAGATATTGAAGAAGCCTCATGAAAAATATATGCCTATACAAAAAAATAAGTGTGCTATAAATGAACAAGAAGGCATTACTACAGAAGTACCAAAGACTTTGTTTCTATGAGGTGAGGGGAACAATTCTTTGATCATCATTTAACTGATTTTGTTATGTCAAAAGCTCTTCCTTCTCATGTAAACATAACAATTCTACTCATGTAAACATAACAATTCTACTCATGTAAACAAAATAATTCTACACATGTAAACATTATGTTCCTCCGGACCACCATGTGTTTTTGTCTTTCGTGACAATAGTTTTTAGCAATATAAATTGTTGTATTATTTCCTTGGGACAGCTTGGCAAGGATCGTCTTTATTCAAGAAAAACAAGTCTTTTATCAATAAATTGTCTCTTCTTTTCAGTTTGAATAATATTCTTTCATGATTAAATGCAGTTTACATGTATATTATATTCCAATACATTGAGATATAAACACAGAGTACTTCCAGAATGTACAGCGATAACTATTATTTTCATTCTTCAGTATACCACAGAGCAAGATTTAGATTTTGATATGATTGTGATGAATGAAATTATGCTATGGGATGAATTAAACATTTTTGTATTTCAAATTGTATATATCAATTATTATTGCAGTTATGCATATTACTGTCATACATTCTCAAGTGTCCTTATTTCCTTCTCAGAATTACAAATATCTATTTTGAATATGTTGAAAATGTCAAATCATGGTATTGATTTATGCATATCCAATCAGTATACAGGTACCGGTAATGATTGAAAAAAAGTATGAACTTGTAGTTAAATGTATGTATATATTGTATGACTGTGTATGAATGATATTTAAATGAGGCAAGGTTTACTTTATATAATGTTATATGATTGATACTGTAAAGGACCAAATTTTTTATCATTATGCTATATTCTTTTGAATAGAAATTAAAGAAAACAGTGATTCTTTGTAATTGAACATTGTATTTAAATTTTTTATTGTAGTAAAGGTCAAAGCAACAGGGTTGCGTGGCCAATACAAGAATTTATATTATATGTGCTTCTAGTATTTGATTCTTAATTGCTATAATTACACCAGTACTGTTTATCTTATTACAAAACAAGAAAATATATTATCAATGTTATATAGAGAACAATGATAATTGTAGTTGCATGTAATATCTTGGCATAATAGCCGATAACTACGCATGCATGAATGCATAATTGTTATGTAGAAACTTTGTATGTACTTTGCATTTAGAATGAGTTTTTTTGCTCACAGTCTGATCCATGTGATGTACAGCTTTTACTGTCTAGGTTTATGCAGTAATTCAATATCTCTCTTGCACCTTGTATGGTTGCGGTTTTGATGGATTTTTCCCCATTTTTTTTCCATTATTTAAAAAAAATGTAGTTTTCAATTATGTGGCAAGATCATAAAATCAGTGCTTCCTAATGCAGTTTGCATTATATACCTCACAAAATATTCTTTCAGCATTTTGCTCATCTACCGGTAGTCAATTTTTCCATTCCATGCTCTGTTAAAATGCAGATCTCTTTTCCATGTAACATTTTATTGCACCTGTCTCTATATATGTCATCAATGCCAGAATGAGAAAGAATTGTTAATCCAAAACTATTTTTCTATTTTACTGTCATATGATATTCGCACAAATACTTATATATACTTGAATCAGGTTCATTAATAAATTCACCTTCATTTTACCTTATCACTTCTCGTTCTTGAATGTATTATTTGTGTACCTGTTTAAAAGACTCTAAGAACTCTATATAGTGGTATTTCATTTAATGGAATTAATTAAAATGATCAGTTTCCTTGGGGTTGCTTCGTTCCACCAGGTCTTTGTCTCAGGTCAGGTTGTTGGGTTACACAACCTTTTGTGAAAACATACCCCCATATTCACAAAAGGTTGAGTACTTCTTGTCGGGTTACACAATATGTGTTGAAAACCTGCCCCAGCCGCAAAAGGTCGGGTAAACTCTGCAAATTATCACAGCTTTTTTCAAGGCTGGTCCTAATTGAGATCAGGCTAATCTTTTTACATATACATGTACATTTATTTGAAAACATGTCCATAATCAGACAATATTTCAGTGTTGATCATGGCCTTTTTGCAAACTCTTTTGATTGATTATCTCATATACGAGTGTTGGGGTCGAGACGCTAGTTTTCATAGATTTGCAGTAGGCCTAGCCTTTTGAGAAAGTGTCGGGTATTAAAACTGGACCAAACACTTTGGCGATTAGAGGAGTGTACGTTTCAAGTTCAAGTTTATTTATTTCACTTTATCAAAGAAAACATAATTGCACATACTGAATAATGATAATTATTATAACTAAACATACAATATAGAAAACATAATGATGTACATGATAATAGTTATAACAGAGAATACAATCATATAAATCAATCAATAAAGTGGGGGATCTACATAAAGTTACACCCAACTTTTCAGGAATTAGGGCTCGATCGCAAAAGTTTATATTGCCTGAAGAAGCCAAGATCCAATGGAATAAAGTCCATTTCTTTGAATTTTTTTTTTAAAGTGCAAAATTCTGCCAAATTTTAACTGAGCTGATCCATTAAAACCTGTTTTGGTGCTTTTCAGAATGTCAATTGAAGAAAAAAAATACTTGAAGGGGTAGAACCATGGTTCTGTGAAGTTGGGGAAGGGCAGGAAGGAGGGGGACATGGATGGGGCACAGAGTCGAATGAGAAAAAAAACACCCACCTTATAAATTAGGGAAAAGGGTATAGGCCTATCACGTTCTGCAAATTTAAAAGCACAATTAATTGTTGACATATTTGTATGTACTTCCTTAAATTTTGTAAAAGTAGGGGTTGGGTGTTCCCCTTAAATCTACAGCATTCTCATCCATCACAGATGAGATCTTTACGAAAATAATCTGAGATCAGTGTTGTGCATTAATATCGGCGGCCCCCCCCCCCCCCCCCCCCGATTCACCCCCTTTTTTAAATCCTGCTACTTGAAGATCAGGTGACCTTTTTCTTGGCCTGACATGGCACGTGATCTACGTACAGCCATCGCATGCGCACTACAGCGCTAGCCGACAAACGGATTTGGGATTGAAAATATCATAACCATCCCTTCTTCCCCTTGTTAAAGCTGAAAAATCAATATGGAGGAGGTGGATAATATTATCATACACACATTTAGAGAAATCGGATGGTGAGTGATCCTTGAATATTGCCGATCTGTGACTATCTAGCTGGGTCACTGTTGTTGAGTTAAATTTCAGAGAGCTCCGCCGCCCAAAGCGTCGGGGCGGAGCTCCTTGGAGTTGCTGCATACTGTTGAGTGTGACTGACTGTGTTGTGTTGCTGTTCTGTCGATGGAATACTGACCGGAAGGGGAGGATCGCTAAGCCAAGCTAACTCTATCATCCCATATAACATGTCGCTTTGTATTATGCATTATGCATTGTAGCATTGTGTGCACTAGCAATATGAAATATGAAATTGATATCATTGAAAAGCGTTAGACTAGTTGTCACCAGGCCTAGTGAACTGAAGAGTGATGATGTTAAGTAATTAACAAAACCTCAAAATATGGATGTTACAAAAAAATAAATCTCAGAATTCAAGCTATTGCTTTATGCCATTAGACAGAGCTTGATAAGACCTTTTATTTGATGCCTCATTCATCGTAATAGCCCCAGTAATAAGAAAGTTATGCCAATTTTAAACGTCCGGAAATCATGTATTTAATTGCTTTGTTTTCCTTTGTTTTTAAACCAAAAGTTGTGATCTCAAATGTGACCGAAAGATTCTATTTCATTACATAAAATCGCCCTTAAATGTATGTAAATACACAAAAATCCCTAATCGGGCCGTCATTTTTGCATGACATTTTCATATTCCTCCTCCAAAAAAACATATTTCTAATCGATAGATTTTGCTGAAATTTCACCAAAAGCAAATTCAAATGTTAACCAATCATCCTAGATACTTTTTTTCAAATCCTGTAGGTGGGATCAGGGTACAGAATGGCACTAAACACGGCTCATGTGAAACAGTGCAGCAAAACAACCTGCCGAAGACATAAATCATAAAAAGTTTAGTATGAAATGAAAGATAACAATGTCATTCTTCTCATCCAATAGAAATCATGAAACAAAAATCTAATCAGCCCATCAAAAGATCACATTTACGTAGGCTATCCAAATTGGTCTCCAATAGTGCATAACAGCCCCATGGTAGAAACCTTCATGGCGAAAGCACACACATTGTAACATACCTACTACAAGTCTCTGAATCTGATGCACTGCTACTGCTAGTGCTACAATACATAGTAAATGATCGAGGTCTAAGTACCTTGAACCTTTAAGTTAAAGCATTAATTCCTTTTCAAGCTCAAAAGCTATATTGATTAAACTGGGATCCTAGAAAACAGTATGGACCTCATCATAGTCAGACACGTAATAGCGCTATAAAGTGCTAATTTTTTGCATACACCCTGTACATTTAGTGAACAAATTGGACACAAATAAAGACTGTCCATGAATCATTTACTTTTAAATATGAAGCTCCCAATTCATACTGTTGTAATTACTTTAAAAGCCTGTGATAAATCAGTTCTGTATTCAACAGCCTATTCACAGCTCAAAATCATGTACGTAGAAAACCTGGAGAAACTGAAGCTGATTTACCTCCCTTTGTCTTGTTTTGCTAGCGTTTGCAAATTGTCAAGTGACTCAAGTTTCAGTTAATGATCAACAAAAACAAAAACTCTGTCCCTGCGGTCAGTTTCATGACCTGCCAGAAATTACAGGTTTTTTACTACCAAATTTGTGTACCATACAAGAATATATGTTTTTGTATGTGTTTCAAATGAAAATCAATAAAATCCCTGTGGAGGGAAAAATATGGAAAAAAAATAAAATAAATTACTAGAGGAGTCTAGATCTAAACAATAATTCAGAAGAAAAAAAATTAAAAATTGTGTACCGGGTACATATAAGACAGAGATTTAGTGCTCTCTTTGCCAGGATTGACAATAGATTAAATTTTCCTGGTATTTTTCCATCATACCTGTAGGTTAGCTGATTTGATTGTATTTTACTGCTGTTTACATTTTCATGTAGGTGTCATCAATTGTCACTAAAGTGCACATTTTGAGAATTTGAGTGGATTGTGCTGAGTTTTGTACAGTGGTTTTGAAAATGCTGAGAGTCAATAGAGGATGTCTAACAAAAATACCTACACACAAATACTGATGCTTTTAAGAGTGCTCTATTGAAATGTTTGTTAGTGCTAAACATAGATTGCAATTAGCCAGTCAAGACCTCAACACTAATTCCCTTGCATAGTACAATATTTGCTTGCATTGTATTTTGTTTATACTTGTTTATACTTCCATTTATCCTCCTTTGGGTTTAATTTGAAATGAAGTGACAATTACACTTTTATAATAAATACATTTTCAAGCAACAACGAAAAAGAAAAAAAATATCATGAAATTTATAATCATGATTTTTTTTTTTCCTCTCTTTTTGAAGTGATCTTGACGAAGATGTCGTGACCCTACGTCAATTCACACCGGAGCTTGTGGTGGAGGCATCGGTACGATGTCTGAAATTGATAGACACCAATACAAACCTTCCTCACTCGCTGCCTCCCGGCATGTCAGCCAGGTTCAGGCTTGGTACAGACCTCGCTAATGCTCTACAGGTATGCATTTAAGAAAGGGGGGTGTTTCACAAAGATCCTAAGTCGAACTCAACTCTTAAGTTGGACCTAAACATTATGGAGAGCCATTTGTAGCCTCAAAATAAAATGTATTAAAAATCAAAAATTCAAGTATTTTTGACTTTTCATTAATTCCACATCAAGAACATGAAATCTCCTTGATAATAGAAAATGTGAATGATTTGAATCGACAGTTTATGCCTTTAAAAATAACTTTTACAAAATATTTTTGAAGATGCTAATGGCTTTCCATAATTTTATAAGTCCAACTTAGTGATAAGGTCAAGACTGTTCAACTAAGGATCTTTGTGAAACACCCCCCATGTTTGTAATCTTTTGCAGATTTGAAACGATGATTCTGATTGGTTAATGCCTAATGGTCAGCTTTTTGAAGAATATATGAGCATGCAGCAATCATCTTGATTGGCCATTGCCATTTTGTGATTGATTACAAGTTTACAACTTTCATGTTATAAATGGAGCCCTGTTCTATATCTTTTAACATTTTTTTTTGTGTGAGGTGGGGGTGGGGGGAATGCCTTCATTTAATTATGAATAACAAGTGTTATGGACAGAAAGATTTCCCCCAAACAGATCGATGTGGATGTATAATTATCTTCTTATAATGTAAATTTGGTAACGTTTGTATATACAAATTAAAGAGACCTTCTAAGGCTTAGATAAAACTAAAGTTCACTAGGTCATTCAGGTTCTAGAACATAAAATAGAACTAGAAGATAAAAGAGACGCAAATTCCTTTTGTTTCTGATCAACAGTGGTAAATACTCCCTAAAATTCCTGTATGTTGACATTTATTTTGTTTTTGTGTTTTAATTTACAGTAGTTGATTTTATAACATTGATTAAGAAGTACCCACTGAGTAAATTGCAATAATTGCCTTTTCATTCTCCTAATTTACATCTATTCAATTTGTTTAATTAGTTGATTTTATAACAGCGATTGACAATTAATCAGAGAGTGCATTTCAAATACTGTTCATTCTCTCCATTCAAATTAATCAATTACATGTTGTTGATTTATAAAATTGATTCAAAAGTAATCATAGAGTGGATTTAAATTTACATTGTTTAATTTATCATCATTATATTTACCTTTTTTTCAGTCACTTGGTTTCCGAGGTGACATGGGCTACCAGACCTTCCTGTACCCTAACGAGGCGGACATCCGTCGTCTGATGATGTTTCTGGTTGAGAAGTTGCCTAAGGAATCGGTGACTAGTACCGATGAACCACAAGGTAAGAGTGCTGCACAGACATAAGGCCTGTCTTCATCAGCTCGAGTTTGCCAAATAACCCGCTAATTTCAGACTCAGGATATTATCCCGAAGCTCGAAATTGCTTGGATGGGTGCAAATTAGCCTGCTATTTCCCAAATACGGGTAAGGGGATATTTTCTTGACCAAATATCCTGCTAATTGCAACTGCGGGTTGATGGAAACGCAAATTAACTGGTTAATTTGGATTGGGATAGTTAAAATAGCTGGTTATTAGGCAAACTCGAGCTGATGATGACAGGCCTATAGAAGGTGAAAATGTAGTAGTGAAGTGGTTTATGATAAGAAGAATAATATTGATAATTATTTTAGATTTTTTATAGCACACATATATCTAATAAATAATAATAATAATAATAATAATGGATCCTGAGGTGCACACAATTAAGAAATAAGAAGTTTACTAAGAAAACGACAAATGACAAAAATTGCAGTACAATAATCAGATATGATAAAATCTAATACATTGTAATAATAATAATAATGATGATAATATGTATTGTTTTCATATTCAGGGTAGCCTCATCAATATTGACACTGTTTTTCCTGAGGGCCCTGCAATCATATTATTGTCAATGATGTCATTGTGCAACTTGTCAAATGTAGATTTTGTTCATAAAGTTCTTTTGGAAGATTGAGATTGATGCACTTGACTTGATGTACTTGTTTGAAGGGACGGCATCTTAGAGGCGGAGGGTGGCTGCGCAGAAAAATCTGTCACCCCATGATTTAATCCCTTAACTGGGGATGCACAGTTCATGAGTTTGAGCCCTGTCACTGTGCTTATAAATGCCCTTTGGCAAGACATTGACTCTGGTGGGGTGTTAAATGTGGTACCCGGTAGGATTTATTTCTTGAATGCACTCAGCACTGTGTTCCTGGAGCTAAAAATTGGCCTAATACTTTTCAAAACCCAGTGGAAACACGTTGTGCACCAGATATACAAATAATAGCATAAACATGAATGAACTCATTTTGTTTTCGTCTCTGTTGGCATCCCCCCTTTTTCCCCTATTTTGTAGTTCCTTTTGTAGTAACAGACTTGTTAATGTAATTACTCATTATTCCTAAGTATCATTTGGGGTGTTCACATTTGTACAAACATTACTTTTTAGTGGACCCCTCTGTTTCCAATATGTATTTCTACATTTGTTGTAAATGTTTATGATTGAATTGTAATGTTTTGTTGGAAACATGAATAAATTGAAATAGAAATTGAAAGAGAAATTGAAAGGAATAGAAGAACTGTAAAATTATTTTGAATTCAGCTGATTTCAATAGGGCTATGTCATTCTGAATAATAATAATAATAATAATAATAGTCTGTTCTTATATAGCGCATAATACTTAGTCTCTATGCGCTTCCAAAGAGCTTCAAAAGTTATTACCCTAGCTTTAGCTCCGGCTACCGATATTGGCCCACAGCGCATTTCAAGGAATAATCCTAACAGGTATCCATTTACCTCACCTTGGTTGAGTGTGGCAAATGTAGATTAATGTCTTGCTAAAGGACATTAGTGCTGCGGCGGACCTTTTGATCCACAGTCCGGTGACATATCCGCTCGACCACGACACCACTTTCATGCTGTTTGATTTTTTTTCTTCACAAGGAACTTCTGCTATGCTGAGCCGTAGGATATCATCAGAGATCGCCCGTCAGCTGCAGAGCCCCTGGGTGCCTCCTCCATGCAAGAGAAGATCCATCCGATGGGTCGGACCAAAGCAATGGCATAAGGAGGTGAGACCGCAGACAGGAGGAATCTGGGCCCTGGTTCACAAAACTTGATTTCAATAACAAGTCAGAAGCTACTGCTATAAGCTACTGAAATCATGGCATCTGATTGGCTGAGACCAAATTTGTCATAGAAAGTTAGCAGTTGTTATAGATAACAAGTTTTATGAAACAGGCCCCTGAATTCCTTTACTTTAATATTTGGGTTGGACCAAAAAAAATGGCATAAGGAGGTAAGAAAGAAGGCAGACAGAAGGGATCTGAATTCCTTTACTTACTTATAGTAAAAGTAGTTCACTTTCTACACGTCCATATATTGTAATATTTTAGTTACCTATTGTTTTGTGACATGTTGGGTTGGATTGCTTTTAATATATCTATATTATTTCTTCCAAATGATTTTGTAGTACATGTACCAATCATTTCTTTACTTCATTTATTGCTTCATTCCTTTGCTCTGATATCATTCTCTTTGTCCAGGGTGCATCGGGCAGCCATGCCTTTAGGAGCATCCCTCTTGCCATCCCCACTGGTCTAGGGGACCTTACCAAACAGATTCCCAAAGGTATGTACTACACCTAACCTGGAACCTTTCCTTTCAGGACGGGATTTATATTAAAGTGACTCGGTAACATTGTCTCAGATTCTGAAACAAAATCCTTGAAGTAGCTCATGCTGCAATCATAATTATAAACCAGTCAAGAATCCCATGACTTTAACAAGCCAATCGTCTGTCTGATTATCAAGATATTTATGATTGGAAATCCAATTTTCGTAGTGTTTTTTTCCTAACGGTTTTCATAACACTACAGTCTATTTGGGAAAATGAGTATGGTAAAACCGGTCACTCAAAGATTTGATTTTTTGAGGCACTTTATGATCATTTTGGAGCATAATTTTTTAGGGCTTCCATATAACACCATATCACAGACACTGATAACACGTAAGGTCATGTATCTCAGATTTAACATTGTTAAACGGTGACATCATAAGGGCTTAATTGATCGCATCTTTTTCTTCAAATTGGCAAAAAAAAAAAAATTCTCTTATTGCTACATTGTTCAAATAATATGTGATATCTCTGAAAACAATTTACATGGGTGAGAATGCTGTTGAAAAGTGGAAAAATTGCCAATTTTGATAGAAAAACAATGACTTTGAATCTTATAAAGTGTTGCCAATTTAAGGATTGTAAACCATATTTTCTTTTTTTTTAATTCCTGGCATCAAACGCAGTATAGTCATGACCAGAAATAGATGCTATGTGTGCAGTAATGTTTGCCCTTTCTACATTTCTTGCATGTGGCATATTTTTTTGAGCTCTGAATCAAAAGTGATTGAGTCAAACCACAAAATCTGAAGGATTGTCACAAAAGGGTTTTAAAGGGGGTGTAGCATGGCTGGTTAACGCTATCTGCGACTTCTTTTGGATAACTACACATAAACGAATGGACTTGATTAACGGTCAGCGCGCGCTAGCGTTCGCGAAACAGAATGAAGTTCTATTTTGCATGCACGTTTGGCCAGAGTCAGACCTTGGGAAAGACACAGTCTTGTCATGCAACACCCCCTTTACAGTAGTATTTTGTTCTGTCGACCCATAGCATTACAGGGTCTCCTTTTAGTGATGCTTTCACGTTATCTTCTGATCCAGAATGCTAGAAATTGCACATTATACACGAGCAGAAAGAAAATTTTGAGTCTATTTCTAATGCTGTACATTATGCCGCTCACAAATAAGAATGATTTCATTGTTTCTAATCATTAAATTCTCTAGATTTCTTATGTTTTTTGAGAATGAAATCTATTTTCAATTGGTACTTTTTATTTACTTGCTCCCCAACACTCTGCATCGTTTTGCTTTCACTTTTCTCATTTGTATATATTTCTTGTTTTGATTTAAGATATCATGAAGTATTACAACAAGCACATGCCACTAGTCAAGGATCAGCCAGCAAGAGATGAAGATCTGGCGCCCTCATTGTTGGAATTTAATGCAGCCTCCGTGACAGCTGCTCAAGAGTGGGAAACAGAATGGAATACAACGGGTCTGCCATCAAGACTATCACAAGAAGTAGGTTCATTTACCCTCACTATAGAGAAATAAAGCCATACTATATTAGAAGCACAACCACAAAATCCTCTCTAGTGCCATTTCATGATCAGCTGCAGCAGTATGGCCCATTAACTTACTGCTTTTCTAGCTGTGCTGCTGGTTCGTGCATCAATTCCTCTGTCTGCGAAGTGGAAATGAGGTATTGGGTTACGCACTAGTTGCAAGTTGACCGTGAGAATGCGCTGTGCAATAAACAGTGCGCTAGGGCAGAATGTGCATCAGTTTAGTATCGCTTTAAGATGTGCAGTCTTGAAGGAGATGGTTTTTGAGAAATAGGATGAGGAGGTGGGGTGGTAGGCTGAGGAGGAAGAGAAAGCCGAAGGAAGAGCGAGGACGAGGGATGGTAGTATGAAGAGGAAAACATTAAGAATGGATAATCGAGATGGAAGGAGGAAGGAAATACTGAAGAAAGGAAGAGAGGGGAGAAAGAAGAAAGATAGGATGAAAAAAATGATGAAGAATAAGAAGGAATAAGAAGAAAAAGAAAAGAGGAAGAGGAGAAAAAGAAAACCTTATATATTTATATTTCTCACATTGACAATATTGAATGAACTTTCTTCTTTCCGTAGTTCCATTGACTTAAGCCATTCATTCCTTCTCAAATTTTACGTTGAATTAACCTTTAAGAAGTAATGTTCAAATCCAGATTCTAATCCAATCCCTGATTTTCTTCTCCTCCAGGAGTACAAAGCCAGGAAGAGGGAGCGTCTCCAGAAGAGGATGGTCAGCGAGGTCCGCCAGGGACTCCAGAAGTCCGAGCAACTGGACCGCAAGTCGGCCACAGCGGACCTGATGCAGATGCTTGACCTCTTAGGTCAGAAGAGCGCTACCAAGGGTACCAAGGGATCTCGATTCACCCACACGGAGAAGCTGCAGTTTGCACAGGTGAGCTGTAAGGCGTTTAAAACCCCAAAATCTTGAAATCTACAGATGTTTTGTTTTTTTTTTGTTTTGTTTTTTTACTGTTTTTTATAGAAAAAAACGTTTAATGAATAAAAAAAAAAAAAATAGATATTAAGGCAGTGTATAGAATACTATGGTAATTTCAATTTTTTTTGAAAAATTCACTCATTTGCATATTTATGGTAATTTATGCAAATATGGTAATAACATTCACATTTTTATCCATAAATCATATATTCTTCATATTTAAACATTAATTTTCACTACATATATTATATAGACCATTTGGGATAATAATACAGCCAAAAAAATTTGAAGAGCCAGGATATTCCTTATGTTATCTATTGTTTTGATAATTTCTTATGTATTTCTTTGTTTTTTTAACTTATGTATTTTAATTTTTTTGTTGTTTTATTTCATTTCCAACTATAATTCAACTATTATGACCCAAAAATAAACACCTAAACTATAAACAAGACCAAATAACCAATGTTTTTTATCTCTTTATTTGAAAAATGAGATTTCCATATGTTTTGTACACAAATCACAAAAATGAGCGATTTTCGGGCTGACATGCAAAGACAAAAGGACACGTGACTTTGTAACGGTATGTCCAATTTTTGAAAAAATTTCTTTCAAAAGATGCGCATGACTCGAAAGAAAAAAGTGTAACAAAATTTCAGTGCAAGATTTTTTTGCGTTAAAAAATTATTGCAAAAAATGTTGAGGGGGGGCTTCTAAAGCCCCCCCCCCCCCCCCCCCTGGGCTAGATAAGGGTTAAGAATCCCACTTTAAGATGTGGGACTAGAGGTGTTGATGAGGCTGTTATGCAACTGTGCTGGGTTTTGTGATAAATGTCTCAAAGTTAGCATATTCCTGTGTTAAAACTATGCAAGTGGTTGTTTATGTATTTTGCTGGTAGAAAATCCGTAGAAAAAGTGTGCGATTAACTCTACATGTATGTTCATATGTATATGGATCTATATCTGTATCTGTATATGGATCTTATGATCACATAACAGATAGAAATTCTCAAAGTATTGATGCACAGTGAAAATTCCTCTGTATGCTATGAGAATAATGAGAAAAAGATTTGATTTGAAAATACATGTAAGTTATTGATACTTCTTGAAAGTGTTTGAAAGGATTCTAATCAATATCATTATTTTGAATACTTTCTTTTTATTTTAACTTGTGTAGGATGATGAGAAAACAGCAGCTCAGATTGGTATAGGTGAAGGAGGACCAAGAGCCGACACCGAAGAGGTATGTTATTTGAAATGAAATGAAATTTGTTTTATTACTGATAAAAGTTATTAACGACTCAATTCAATTTGCAAAAAGATCTTTGTCTTTTGGGGTTCCTCTTACATTTATAGTTTCCTTAGACTTAAGGCCTTACCTTTAGTTGTTTCCATCCTGGAGAGGACGATCCGCAAGTTTCCTTCACTGCGCTCTGTCTTGGGATTGGACTTTGCATGATTCCATGTTGTATTTCTGTCTTTTCGGTTTATTGTTCTCCTCAATGTAAATAATGGTCTTCCTCTTTTTCTTTTTCCAGCTGGTAGATTCCAATCAAGGGCTATTTTATGAATGTCGTCTTTTTCCATGCGAAGTACGTGTCCAATCCATGTTATTCTTGGCTTGCCTGTTATATGTGACTTTTGTGTCGGATCAATGGCTCAGTCCAAATTCACTGATATTATAATAATGAAGTTATTAAAGGAAAAACAAAAAACCGGTTGTTATGTGTTCTTTCCAATTTACATCTCTTTCTTTATTCATTTTTGTATTTTGTTTCCATCATGTCCATGTCTATTAAAGCTCTATAGCCCTCGATATCTTGGCGTGCCAGGCACCCCGGCATGTAAGTCTGAGAATGGTTGTACCACTGGGTGCATTTGGCCGGTGTTATGGTGTCGATGCACTGCAAGGCAACCTCTCTCAGGGCGTCGCGTTGCCACTGTTGCAGGTTTACTCCTGCTCGTCCAGCAGCTATCCTGTCTCCAACCTGCCGTTGCCATGCCGGCAGCGCCAAGGTTCTCTTTACAGCACTCTCATTGATGAGTGAGCCATTTCAGTCATGTTAAAAAAGGGCGAGTAAAGAGGGAGGCGCTTTGTTTCAATCAGAGGGTTGACATCCTCTGGGAGCTAAGCTCTCACGTGATGCCTGGCGTTGTCATAGATTAAGATGACAGGGGCATCATCAGGGAAGATGTCATTGCACTCTGTAACTGTTGCGGCAAGGAACTGCTCGAAACTTTCTTGGGTCTCGAAAGCCATCTCATGGTGCATGAGACCAATTGCTGCGGAAACGGCAAACGTGACGTTGCAGTTACGACCCTCCTTGCGGGAATACCTTGAGGTGCTCTCCCTTGAGTGCGCCGCGTCCAGATATTATACCCACACTCGTCTATGAAGACGCAGTTGGCCAAAACTCCATCCCCGAGAAACCCCTCTGTATACTCTACCCATTGTTGGAGGACAGTTTCGGTGTCACAAGCATGGCATCTAGAGCCCTCGCTATGGTATCCGTTGACACTTCCTGTTTTTGAGGGAGGTCTTCCTGGAGTTTGTCCTTCATTTGCCGAAGCGAGAGCAGTGGATTTGTCTCAATGATATCTTGAAGATAGTTCTTCATATCATCATCTGTCTTGGCGTTACGTGCCCCACCTCTTGGTAGCTTCTCAATCTTACCGCTGTCCAGATAGGTGGTTACTATGGATCGCGCTGTAGACCGCTTTATCCCTAGAGTATAGATCTGCTAGTTCTATATAATCTTGGCCGTTTCCTTCGACCAAACGACGTCTGTTGACGTTGGAGAAATTCATGTACTATACACGAGCTGCCATAATGTAAGATCTTTGTATATATATATAGATTGTGCTCAGAAGAGAAATCAAAAATTGCGCACCTCCTCTTGGGGACAGTTACCTGTGTAATGAGAGATACCTGCTAACGAATACGCATATATCATTCCTACAAGTAATCTTTGCATAAATTATTCAAACAGAAGTCTACAAAGTAACAAATTAAAATGAAATGAAAAGCAATGCACAAATGTCACATATGTATGCCTATTCATGAAACTGAATGCTCAAATACATTCTGTACCACCGTCTGTCCGGTGCGAAGTTGAATGCTCTTTGCACGCTTTTCTAAATCAAATGCTTGTTTTTGACGTTCCCGTCGCGAGAGTATGAAATCGCATGCTACTAGATCAAATTGAATGACGCAATTAGCTTTTTGAATGTTGATCTACATAGTCATTCAATTCTGCACGAAATTGAATGAAGATGGTGTTAATTCGGATGCTAAGTTTACGAAGTTGGGCAGGAAAACCTATATTATACCATATGTAGAAACGTGAGGAAAAGGCGACATCCCGGGGAAAATGACCGTTTTCTTTTACCATTGTGCAGGAGTTGCGGCAGAAGAGGGAGGACGAGCAGACAGATTTGAAAGAGCAGTTGAGTCGTCTCATGACGCAGCTGGAGGGCCTAGAAACAGAGTCCAAGCAATTGGGTGCAAGTGTGCAACAGGTGAGTGGCCCCAGGGGGGAGGAGAAATGTTCATGATGGGAGTGTGCCTGAAAATGATGACAGATCAACAAGAAGAAATTTCCAATTTGTACACAAACGTAGTTTTGAATAATTTGATATGTCCCTTAATTACCACAATAAAGTAACTATATCATAGTTACAATTTTGTGTTTAATTATGTTATTACATTTTATTTTAATTTAGTGACGGATTAAATTATTCAAAAACATATTCATATGAACACTTGGCATTCCATACTTCGTCGGTGGATTAAACCATGGACAAAAGTTAGTCTGAATCGAGAATATCAACCAATGATTATAAATTTCACTCTGCGTTGTCATTTTAGAGAATTCAATGATTGTATGTGTGTTTAATCACTCTTATTCATGTAGGGCGCAATGTGCTTCACCATAAATGAGCTCAAAATTTTCCAATTATAATATTTGCACTTTCTGCTCATGTACAATTTGTGATCCAGAGCATTCTTGATCAAAAATTTAAAATAGAATGTCACTTCATAAATAAGAGACTAAACTATTGTAGGTTAAACATCATATTACACCTGCTTTTATAAAAGACCCCCTTGATATTGGAGTATGCATTCTGTTGTCAAATAAATTCTATTAACAAAAATTAATAATAAATGAGCAATGAGCTGCATTGCAAAATGATAATATCTTAGTTTAAAAAACCTTGATTCCATGGAGTCAAATTTTTTTGACAATTGCTTCATAAAATTGACCTGGCTTTTGACCATGTTTTTACATGAAAGCATGTGATGATATGTTTGAATGTTATATATTTTTTTTTTCTTGTACATATATATATAAAGTGCAACCCTTCTTTAAATATGGTGTTAATTCAAATCATCCCCACTTGGATTAGGGCAGTGTTTCTCAGCTGCTTGGCTGCGAAGCTCTGTCAGGTGGGCTGCGAGGTCAACCAAAACATGATTTTAACAATTTAACTCATTAAAAAAATGTAACTTATCTTACATGATACAGCTGGATTTCAGCTCTAACTGTTACATATTACATTTTCCATAGATATTAATGTCTTTATGGAAAGGGGGGAGGTAGTGTACTGTAGTAGTAGCATTACAATGGACAGTGGCACGACACATATATTACTACACAATTAATTTTTTTTTTTTCTTGTTTAACGTTCTACTCATTTTTGGGGGGTGAGGTGAGCCTCAAAAAATTCTTACAGTCTATGTGTGCCTTGAATTAAAAAGGTTGAGAAGCGCTGTGTTAGGGGATGTGCATTATGACTTTGTATTTAACCCAAACAAGCTGACCTCACACACCCTGTTGCCCTTTGACCTTTGACCTTGTTTAGATGGAGGAGCAGACGATGGAGAAGAAGAGAAGTAACTCGGAGAAGGAAGCTTCTTACAAGGTCAAGAAGAAGACCATTGACCTGCTTCCAAATGCAGAGACGAACATCACACTCTTACAGGTATTAATTGACCACATTGCATGGTCTTGTGATTTAGGATGTGAAATATATCCCAAGTGATGTGAATGGTTATATGACCAGAGGGCGTTTCACAAAGACTAAGATCGACTTAAATTGGACTTAACTATGGCAGGCCGTTCATTCCTCTGTTTCCTCTCACCATTTACTGGCATTGATCTCTGAAGGGAGGTATAAATTGTGGTCTCAAATCCACAGAATGTACATGTTTTGATAATTCATTATTGAAGGAAAAAATATTATCTAAAGATCATAGTGGTGAGAGCAAACAGTAGTCCAACTTAACGTCGATCTTAGTCTTTGTGAAATACCCCCATGGGCCCCAATACACGAAAGTTTCAGTCGATCACAAAATGGCAACGGCAAATCAAGATCATTGTTGCATAGACATATTGTTCAAAAGGCTGATCATCAGCTATTCAGTATCTTTGTTCCAAATCTGCAGCTGATTGTGTTACGGAGCTCAGGTCCTTGTGATATAAAGAGTCAAATTAATATTTTCTCCAAATATCAATCGTTTATCTCCTCAAATTAATCATACGGTTGTATATCTTGTAATCACTCCTAACTTTACAATAAAGAGTAACTTACAGTTGATTTTATGGCAGATTGATACTAGTAATTGAAGCAAGATTGGAGATACAATTAAAGGAATAGTTGAGTGTTGGTCAATACTCACATTAGCGAACGAAACTATGATCTAAACATAAAAAACATACAATAAATGTCTAAGAATGCATCATTGAAGATATAAATCCGAAATATTACATTAGAGTGAATTTATATGCAAAAAACCTGTTCGACTGCAAATGATTTTATTTATCAAAAATTTTACTTTCGAGGCGTGTTCAGTGTAATTGTATAGCGCCACCTCTCGGTCAAGCGGCAGCACACCGTGAATTTTCGCCAAGACGACGATCGGATATGGGCGTGCAAGTAATATCCGAACCATGTCTATAGCGCGCTGACTGATTTATATTGTACACATTATGGTATGCGAGGCCTGCACATAATTGCATGGTCTGTGGTACTGGTAGCGCTATTGTTTTAGAGCGCGATATGCGAATACTGTATGTGTATGTAGTGCGAGTACGCTCGACCTAGTAGTAGTGTATGTGTATGTATTGTACGTCGTATGACCAAGGAGTTACTACACACTCCTTGGTATGACCCAGTTGATTACTTCTACAGTGTAAAGAAAGTGGCTTACTCTACCTATCAACCAATATGTGAGACAACGCAAGGGCAATTTTGTATTTCGTTTGTAGGAACAAAGCTGTGGAATGATCAGATGAAATTAGATTAAAAACATCGAGGTTATCTGTCCACCTACCTTCTATGTAAATGACGTGGGCCTTCGTTTTTCCTTTTATATTACTTGTCTTCCTTTTATAATATGTGAAGAGTTTCATTCCAAAAGGAGCCAAATCCACTTTGGGTACTTCTGAGTAAATTGCCTTTTTTATTTCTCCACTTTCCCTTTAGCCATGTATACCTTCATGTTGTTATATATGTTAAAGGTGTCACCCTGCATGGACCTGATTATCTGCCAATAATGATAAGAAAAAATCTTCCCTTCGGCTTTTCTGATGTTTACTAAATTTTTTTGATTTTTTATTTTCGTGGATTTAGCTCCTTTTGGAATGAAACATGTTATTGTACCTAAAAAATAAAAAATAAATCATATTTTCTCAATAAAGTCACTGAAATTTTATTCAAATTTAGCAGCAAACCTTTCCTTTTAAATAATAATAGTGAAATCACACATAAATATAACCTTTCGAAAAGAAAGTAAACAACATTATTACAGTTTCATTCCAAAAGGAGCTAAATCCATTCAATTCCAAAAGAAGCTAAATCCATGTTTCATTCAAAAAGGAATTACTAAATCCACATTTTTTTTTGGCACATATCGCACGACAACCAAATGCCCTAAGATGTTGATACCCACTTTGATAGAAAAATAAGGTTTTACAAAATGGAAAAATACTAGAAGAGAAAAGGTAAGAAAGAGTAAAGACGGATTGAGGACGGTAAACCCCAAACAAGAGACTCAAAAGATCTACCCCAGAATCCTCTCACCGGCACCAGAGTTGCCTAGGCCAATGATGGCCGAGAAGATTGCGCAATGTACCGCGCCGGTCTGGCAGGAAGGTGCCAATTGCGGTGAGGGGTTTTCATGGACCAGTAGATCTGAGATTATATTATCCAAAAAAAAGAGATGAATATGAATTGACAAATAGTACCAAAAATAGAAGAAAAAAAGAAATAAAGTGAAAGGCGTAAATATTCTAAAAAAGAATGAAACACCGATAATACCAAACAACAACAACAACACAAAATCAAAAAATTTGATAGAAATCAGAAATAACTGGTGGATTTTTTGTCTTATCATATGTTATAGGTCCAGAGCGACACCTTTAACATATATAACAACATGAAGGTACATGGCTAAAGGGAAAGTGGAGAAATAAAAAGAAATAAATTAAAAAAAATATTAAAAATTGTTGTATCAGTATACTATAATGAATAACAGTAGTGAATTAATTTAACATCTTACTTGATTCATACTTGTCCATAATGCAGTGTTTTTCAGTATTCTTATTTTGGTACTGCATGCAATTGTAAAGTTTAAAAAAAAAAGTGATTGTAACTTCTTGTAAATAAGTTGTGTTCTACAGTGCCTGTGTATTGCATGACCTACGTCAGTACGTGATAACTTGTAAATGTGTAAAGACATAAGATTTTAATATAATTATAGTAATGCTAAAATGAAGATACATAACATATTTTTATGGTGTACATTGAAAGCTTTATTCGGCCATAACTAACAGTTAAATTTACACAACATTATTGAGATGAATACAAATTATACTTGCTGTACTGAAGGCAATATTTAAACGTGATGTTGATTCCAACCATTGCATACAAACAGATCATGTGTATTAAAAAAGGCACATTTTTATTTAGCATCTATCGCTATGACAACTTTAACCGTCGTCATTAAGAAGGAGCAATATACTTTATTTGTATACCACCATGTCTTGTTACTTATTAGTTACTGCTTATTTATATACATCTTATCTTGTGTCTTTCATAAAAACTTGACATACTCTATAGGCAATGTGTAGATAAGTTTACCAAAGAAAAGTATCTATAACAGTAATGTTTCTACGCGCTTGACAAATATACTATTACCCCGGTCATTTGATTCAGTGCTTGCCCGCACACAATGTTTTGACTAGTACGTGATCATACAAATTTTGCCGAGAAACTGCCTACTAATTGATATATTTGGTAAATTATTATATCTATTTGGACTTGATAGATATAACGCATGTGTCGCGCACTTGTGCGTAGTCCCATATACATCTTTCTGTGTACAGTGCTTGTAACTTTACCAAGACTGGGCCAATTTTTTTATCATTTCGATGATTCTAGAACCTTGCAGTACACACCAAGACTTATATGCTAGATGATCAACCTTTTCTGATCGATTCCACAACAATCCTTTCACAATGCAGTCGCATGACCATAACTGGTTTTATCTTTTAAGTTTCACATCTTACTTTATATATAAATGCTTTAAAAATTGTCTGAGTGATTCTTTTCCTTAATGTGTACGAGTATACATGTATACATACTCCATATCGATCTCAAATCCTGAATCATATCAGTTTCAGCACAAAATTAAGTATAGTTAGGTACATATATGTCTTTCATCTTCCCTAATGCTCGACTATGAATATCACCTCAAGTGATTAACATCCAACATAAGGTTTTTCAAAAAAATAGCACAGACATTTCAAAACTGGTCATGTCCTATACGCACACAAAAGACAATTCTGCGTTGTGTGTACTGAGTTTCATATGAATCGATCAAACTACTTCCAATAGTTTGCTCACATACTTATTTTACACACTGCACATGCATTGAGTTTTATACTGTTATTATAATGCCTCATCAAAGATACCAAAACTATAAAATTGCTAAAACTTGGAAAGAATATGCTCCACAAGATTATTAAAACAAAATTGTATTCTTTGTGCAAAGCTTGGTTACCATGGAGGTACCTTAACAGACAGACACAACAAATGTGTCTTGCACACCCTCGGGTCAATCGGTATACCAAGTTTTATTACAATTTGCAAAAAAATTTGACCCAGTTTTTTACAATAGACCAACAGAAAGACTCGCCTGCCCAACTGTATCCTTATTCCTTTATACACCCTTTCAAACTACAAAGTAGTTACAGGCAGCATATCTCTTGATGGTATAACCTTGAACCGCAATACTTTGGCGTTGAGCTGATTCACGTTCATTGATTCAAATGATGCATGAAACCAACTGTTTTGCTGTCTTGTGATCATTTCTCTTTTTCGCTTGCATTATTTTAGTCACATTGATTGCATTAAATAAAAAATGAAGACTATTTACAATAAGATATTCTACAAATCTTTCTTCTGTCCATGTTGATTTTCAACAGGTTCCGAAGTATAGTCTTTTTCATGATCGACTGTCACCTCAGTTACATGCACAGTCACTAAAACCAAACACATTGTTGACTCATGGTTTGACCTCTTGGCTGTAAATTTTATAATTACTACCGTAACTTCTTCAAGGAATATAGGTTGCCAAATAGATACAAATTGAAATATCCACCATTTCCACATGAGCAAGCACTGATTTTATCACAAATTATGAATTGTATAAATCACATAGAGCTTTTATACACTGATGTCACAATTTGTCTTTTATATTCCTACATTTCTTCCATTTGTAAACTTGCCAACCTCTTATTGTAATACAATATACAAGTGCCAAGCATGGTGGCTAATCTAGCAACAATAACAATTTATTTCTGGTACATGTATATCATGTGTTATGTGATTTTTTTTCTCCAGATAACCACATCCCCATGATCCCCAGGGACACTCTAGTATCAAGTTTGGTGGTATTTTGTCAAAGGGTCTCTGACATA